ACCAACAATCAAGTTAATGAATGACAACTTTATTTTTCTTACACTTTTAAGGCTGAACCTTCATTTAAATTGAAAAGTATGATAATTGTATTTACTCATTAAATATTATTAAAGTTTTCTAAAACACAACTTGAAAACATCCAGCATGCATGTTTAATATCAGTACAATAAATTCAAGACCAAGTATACATGTTACATGCAGCAAGGCTAGATTACAAATTATCATAGTCATCGTCATCATCATCATCATCATCATCTTCATGTTTTCTTTTTAATGCATTTGATGATTCATTGGCAGTATTTTGTGATGATACCATATTAGTGGTAATAAGAATGTTTTTGGACCCAATTAATGATGGATTAATGAGAACATTCTGAACTGCTGAAGTTGCAGGAATTGAAGCTTTTACAGCTGGAGACTGCGATGTAGGCATCTGTACTGTAAACCTTTGTCCCGTGAGGGACATGGGAGTTCCCACTTTAGTTGAAACAGACATGGTCTGTGGGGTTGGTGTGCCTAGTGTGGGAGTACTTGGTCTGCTAGTAACCGAACCAACACTTAACCGCGGGACTGTTATTCTTCCTGCAGAAGTTGATGACTTTTTCTGTAAAGATTTCAGCCTATAGTTTGGAGCTGTTAAGCAATACCTATCAGGTGGCAACCTAGGACCTGAATATGGCTTGATTAATGGCAAAGGCGTTTGATTTCTTTGCCTTGCAATATCTAATAAAAAATCTCTTGGGGGAGGAGAGGTAAAAGACTGATCGGCGCGGCACTGGATTGCCAATCGCACATCATCTGCATCAACAGTAGCTTTCTTAGCATGGCTTGAATAAATTTTTGCATCATCTAGAATTGTGGTCACATATCGGAAGGCAAACTCCAACATCTGATTTATAACTCTTGGCTCATATTCTGTAATCCCCATATCCTTCAGGATTTGTGCCATCATCTGTGCATCTTTCGGCATGCTCTTGGGAGAAGCCATCTTGCCAGACTCCATGATATCCGATGATCAGACTTTAGATCATTTGAAAAAAATATGTACATTAGATCAATCTGAAATAGTTACTTTAGTAGCAACTGTCAGGAACTTAAAAAATTTTAAATCTATGTTAAACTGTTAAAAATTTTTTTTAAAAATCAAACTATGTTTTCTTAATTTTAATGAGGCATACTTTAAATCCCTTTACTTAAATTTATTGAGTTCCTACCATGTACAAATCATTGTTGCCTATAAAAATATGAAGACACACAAGAGATCGAGACCATCCTGGTCAACATGGTGAAACCCCGTCTCTACTAAAAATATAAAAAGAAAAAAAATTAGCTGGGCATGGTGGCGTGTGCCTGTAATCCCAGCTACTCAGGAGGCTGAGGCAGGAGAATTGCCTGAACCCAGGAGGCAGAGGTTGCGGTGAGCCGAGATCGCGCCATTGCACTCCAGCCTGGGTAACAAGAGCGAAACTTGGTCTCAAAAAAAAAAAAAAAAAAAAGAAGACACAAATAAGGGAGCAATAAAAGATTAGGGGAAAACAGGGTAAAATAAATAACAATATCTATCATCTTAGGAAACATGCAGTTGCATGCAAATCTCAAACTAATCTAAGATACCATAGCATAATCATGTCCTATACCTGAACTCAAAGTAATCTTTTTCCAGTGAGACCAATATACTCACTGTGCTCATATACATGTTTAGCAGTACCAAACCTTTGTATGCTCAACTTAGAAACATTCTCCTTATTCACATTCTACCTATCCTAAATCCAGTATCTTCATAGGAGCCTTCCCAACTATTCATAAGAATTGCTAGCCATTTTGAAGACAGAAGGGAAAATGGTCAAAATAACCAGGACATAGCATTAGACACTTAGTATTTTTGTGGATTAACTAAGAGTATATATTCTTTAATGGCAAGCTGTTTTTTGTACCCCCTGACAATACCCAGCACTAACACTCCACTATCAGACTTTAAAATAAAAAAAGCAAATCTAACATCAAAGTGTCCCTTACCTTCTCGAGCTAAATCACCCACATTAATGTATTTCAGTCCTGATTTTGATGCAAGTTCTTTGCCTAGTGTGGTTTTTCCAACCCCTGGTGTACCTGTAAGATAAGCCACAGAAAAATACTGTTTGTGAAATACTACTCATCACACTGCAGCCCACCTTCGCCCCCCAGCCTTTTTTTTTTTGAGACAGAGTCTCCCCTGGTCTCTGCCCTTCTTAAGGTTCTTGATGAATGAAAAATCTTCTAATTAGCAATCAAATGTAAATTTTTTTTTTTGAGATGGAGTTTCCTTCTTGTCACCCAGGCTGGAATGCAGTGGCACAATCTCAACTCACTGCAACCTCCACCTCCCAGATACAAGTGATTCTCCTGCCTCAGCCTCCTGAGTGGCTGGAATTACAGGCATCTGCCACCACACCCAGCTAATTTTTGCATTTTTAGAGGTTTCCCCATATTGGCCAGGTTGGTCTCGAACTCCTGACCTCAGGTGATCTGCCCACCTCAGCCTCCCAAAGTGCTGGAATTACAGGCATGAGCCACCTCAATATGTACTACGATCTAATAAAAATTTTCCAAAGCTAACTGAATGTCAAAATATTACCCAGTGTATTGATCCTTCAAGGGTGAGGCTCAGCAGATTCTGACGAAGATCCAAACTGCCTGCTACCACCATGGAACTTCTCAGAATAAAATTAACCACCTCAAATCAATTACAGTTATTTACTTTTTTTTTTTAAAGACAAGATATCTCTTTGTTGCTCAGGTGGAGTGCAGCGGCACTTGGCTCACTGCAGCTTTGACCTCCTGGGCTCAAGCAATCCTCCCATTTCAGCATGTCCAGTAGATGAGGCCATAGGTGTGTACCACCATGCCCTGGTTAATTTTTGTAGATGGGGTTTGGCTATGTTGCCCAGGCTGAGCTCAAGCAATCTGCCCATCTCTCTCTCCCAAAGTGCTGGGATTACAGGCATAAGCCACCCACCCGGCCTATTTGCTTTAATTTAAATAGATTAAGAAACTGTTCATAGCCAGGTGTGGTGGCTCATGCCTGTAATCCCAGCAATTTGGGAGGCCAAGGCAGGGGGATCACTTAAGCTCAGAAGTTCGAGACCAGCCCCGGCAACATAATGAGACTGTCCCAAAACAAAAACAAAAACTGTTCATGTTAAAATGTAAGCAGTCTTACCCCTTGCACCCTTCCCTAAAGACAACCACTGTGAACCAGTTTCCCATACAAGTATATCTTCCCAGAGAAACTCTATTTATGTTGCATATGAATGTACATGTACATACTCTTTGTATATACATAAATACAACATATATTCCCTTTTACATAAATAACAATACTATATACTAAACATTGCTTCTTACCTTCCCCTTTTGATACCTATTATAATTACATTTCAAGATCAAATTTCTAATTTTCAGCTATTCAGGTTTAACATCCCTGAAATTAAACTTGAGCATAAGATAACAGGGATAATCCAGTTCCTATACGCAGGAGAGTAACAGTTACCTCAAGTCCACTATAATTCACCAAGTCTGACCACTGGACTCAACATGTTTTCAATAAAATGCTCACTTTAGAGTTTTGACAATGACACAATATTAATAACCAAGGCACTGTGTTTGATCCATGCAAAAAGATGTTGTAATATCTTCCACTGAAGAAATCTTAAATGCTAAATATTATTTGTGGCTGGTTAATCGGCACCTCTCAGAAACAGACTTGTCTCGTGCGCTGCCAACCATCTTATGTTTAGATGAACGCTGTAACTTTACTGCTTTATTTCTACCCAGTCTTAATTTTTCGGTACGTTCCAATAAAATCTACATGCATTAGATTTTTCCACGAATGGTCTACAATAAACACTTTCAGGACTAAAATATTCGATGAAGCCGTTACGCAGCATTTTAGTTCCTTCACTGATAACACGCACCCAGAATATGGCTTCAAAGACCCACTCCTACGCGAGAAACGACCCGAAATGCTCACTAAACGCCGCTCCTTCAAGGTGTTGGGGGGAACCTCTGATGTAACTCAACAAAGGCATACAGTAATTTAGTCACACCACAAACATCTGAACTCATTTCCCGAAATCTGATCTGAGGAGTTTATCACAAGCAAAGAAAAAATAAAATACGGCCCAGGAAGGCCTAAGGAGTGACGCATCCACCATTAATGGCTCTACTGTGGACCAGATATGGCCTTACATTATTTCGCTAAAAATCCCAAAGCCAACCCTGCCAAAGAATCAACAACCCATTTTACACACAAAAATACCAGATTCAGAAAGACTAAGCAGACCGCCAAGCAAGAGCGCTGGATCTGCCGACCTCTCTTCTCCCCCGGAAGTCTCGGGCCACCGGAATTAACGCTCGGCGTCCCCTCCCCCGCCTCCCGCCAAGCCCGCGAGGGTCGGCTCCCGCGGCGCTGCAGCCAGCTCGCGGCCCTCGCGAGGCCTCCAAACAGGACACTGAGCGGGCCCCGAAGCCCAGAGCACTCCGCAAACCTCGCTTGCCCCCGCCCAGCCCCTCCCGGGATGCCTCCAAACAGGACACTGAGCGGCGTCCAGGGCCCAGAGCACTCCATAAACCTCGCCTGCCCCCGCCCAGCCCCTCCCGGCCGCGCGCCCTGACCGGTGAGCAGGATGTTCGGAAGCAACATGGTCCTCGCTGCGACTGTTCCGATCACCTCGCTCAAGCGCCCTTTGCACTACGGGGAGGAGCCGGAAGGGGCGGGCCACAGCAAGAGCCCACGGTCCCCTAGGACCTCGAGGCCCACCGCGGCGCCACCGGCCTGTCCCGGCGGCCCAGCTGCGGCCCACTAGTTACCTAGCTTTCCCTAACACGTTTCCATCGCAAAGTTGGAGGGTGGGTATAACTCGGGTCGGTGCTTCAGGTCAGGCAGTGCGCTGGATGCCTAAGTCACACACTCCGGCGGGCCCCGCCCTTCGGTTGCGTCGCGGATGCGCCGACCAGTTTGAAAGGTCCCCGGGAGGCCGTACCTCAGAGCGGCCCGGATAAGGCCAGGTGGCTGGCCACCCTTTCGCCTGGGGTAGACCGTGGGCACCTCCGCTCTTCGCCGAAAAGGGAATGCAGCTCCGGGAACGTAAGGCCGCCGCAGCTGCCGCTATAATATGTCTATGTCTTAGAGACGCGAGTCTATCTCTGCCTTCAAGCCTTCTTGGGCTCTCGTCGCTCCTCCTCCCGACCCGCCCGTCCCATCTGGGGATGAGAAGATTGAGGGTGCAGAGCCCAGTCCTGCAGCGGGGATTTGCGAGCTCAACCCGGCACCCTACTGATTACAGGATTACGTTGGACGAATATCTGAGCTTAGTATTTCCTGTTCACTGTGTGGGGTGGCAGTGGGTCGGCTACGAATAGTCTTGAAGGTCTACTTCTGACATCTCATTTCAGGAACCTGGCATCTTCAGGGACAGTTACCTGCTTTTTAAAGGAGGTAATTGTCAATCTTATTTTCAAAGAGTGAATAGAGTCCTGCCCGTGACAACAGTCTGCATCGTTTATTTCGGGCTACAAACTATATTTACTCAAATGTTTTGTTTTGTTTCTTTACCAACTGTGTACCTTTTGAAACGTCAAAGTCTTTAATCGTGAGCGATTTGGGACGAAAGGCCAACAATTTGTTTTCTAATTATGTAGGGGTGTTTATAGGCTATGTGTGCCTCCAAACTGTAAAATAGTACAGTATAGTTTTCAGTGTATAAGTTTGTAGGCATTAAAATTTTCTTCTGGCTAACTTAAAATTGTTGAATTCACTAGTTTGCATAAACATTTAAGAATTTGAAAACACAGTTGAAAAACAGCGTTACTAAGAAATTTTCTAATAACGTGATCAAATGAAAACAGTTTTACAGTAAGATTTAAATGCTTTGTCCACAGCAAGTGAATTCATTGTATTTTACTTTTTGGGAAATGTTGGAACTGAAGAACTGCAACTGTAATTTGAAATAAGGAAAACTTTAATTTTCAGTATAAAAACTGCTCAAATAGAATTTCCTGATTTTAATGACAAAAGGTAAGTACACAGTTTGTGATTTTTTTTTTCTGTTTTTCTTGAATACGTCATTGAGTTCATGTGAACAATTCCGTTTGTAACACCACAAGTAGATTCTTGATCCAGTTATAGTCATTAAAAGTAAAATTATTTTAGAATTTCGGTTTCTTGTATCACTTAAATTGACTGTTCTTTTACACTAGTTATTGAGCCTTTATTGTATTGTTGATTATATCAGTATACATTTACTACTGTAATTCTGTATTTATAGTTTTTCTTCATTTGAGGGCTTCTTTTTTTTTCCCCTAGGTGAATTAGAGTTAAATGTATTACAGGTCCTATACTACGGATGGGAACTATTACAGTTTATAATGTCAAAAACTTTTCTTAGACCAAAGGTATCTTCCACAAAGGTATGATACACTAGAATGGCTATAAAATAATTGCCTTAAAATAACTATAAATTTTTATATACATTCTTAATAACTTGTTACTGCTATCAAAGTAAGAGCCCGGTATCTATTGTAATTAGTGGTTTAAGCAAGTCTGGTATAAGTTGTGAAACAAGTGTTCTCTAAAAGCACAACCTTAATTTTGAAGGTTTACAACCTTAATTTTGAAGGTTTACAACCTTAATTTTGACTGTTTACAGTCCCAGTCACAAAGAAAACACTGAAAACATTTGAAAGAACATAGAAGAGAGAAGTGTGAGTGGTAGTTGGTGTTACAGCTTAATCAAAAGCCCTACTTCTTAGAAGTAATGTGATTCAATGTGTCAGTTCTCAGCAAGATAGGGGTTAAGGTGGGATGGGGATCAGTTTCATGCATGCAGGTTAGCTATTTCCCTAAGTGGTGGCTCTAAATTTTATTTGATGTTAAGTAAATTACTTAACTTTGCTGTTTATCTTGCTCTTTTTTCAGTATATGGGAGTCCACATTTATGTAAGAAATGAAACTATAAAATGTATAAATAATTTCCAAATCAGAACTGCTATCAAAAGGTTTACCATCACAAAAGATATTTTTATACACTCAAAAATATAGAAGGGGCCAAAATTATAGTACCAGTCACAATTTTTTGATAAGGATGAAATGAATCAGGTAGCTATGACTGAAATTTTTCCCAGTGGCCTGCCTTTTCCAATCCACTGCCGATAATATTCCTAACTCTCTGTCTTAAGAGTAAAGTGTGACTTAGCATTCATAAAGTATCCATAAGCCCCATATTGTCTCCCCTAAGCTTACTTTCAGCTCCAACTTCTGGTTCGTTTTCTCCAAGAGAGGAACATTGTTTAATGAATAGCTCACAAATATAGCTGAATATTCTTGAAGGAAAATACAATTTTTTGTTGTTAGCCAGGCAGTAGATTCTACAACCAGATCTTAAGCTGTATTTTTCTAGATTTATATTAAAAGTGTTAAAAATCAATTTTCTAATTTCTAATTATTTGTCATTGTTAGCTAATAATTTCTAATTATTAGCAAATTTTTTTTTTTTTTTTTTTTTTTTTACTGAGACAGGGTCTCACTCTGTTGCCCAGGCTGGAGTGCAGTGGGGTGATCATGGTTCACTGAAACCTTATCCTCTTGGGCCTAAGTGATTCTCCCACCTTAGCCTCCCAAGTAGCTGAGAATATAGGCGTGCACCACCATGTCTGGCTAATTTTTTATTTTTTGTAGAGTTAGGGGTCTCCCTATGTTATGCTAGCTGTTCTCAAACTCCTTGGCTCAAGCTATCCTACTGCCACTGCCTCTGTATCTGAAAGTGCTGGAATTACAGACGTGAGTCACCACAGCCAACCGTTCCTAGGCATTTCTGAGTGACAGCTCTCCCCGTGGAAAGCCTGCCTCGATTATAAAAACATTAGTTGCTTCATGCACTGAAGAAAAAAGTGTAATCCTGTCTTAATTACAAATTACAACTTTAGGATCCTTGGCCTGTACCTTCATTAAGTCTTAAAGCTGATACGGATTATTTGGATATATGAAATTGTTCTTAGTTTGTGAACATATTAACCTGGTCAAGGCAGATGTATTACTCTTCTTACTGCTATTTCTGTTAAAATAATATCATTTAATCCTTTATTTTGTTTTGCTTTTTTTAATAGGTAATTTAATATTTATGTTTCATCCTACAGAGAGCTAAAAAAAATCATTCTAGTCTTTATGATGAGAAGATTACAATTAATAAAAATAAGTTTGTGTTCTTTACTCCTTTATGTGGCATTTATCATTAGGGTCAAGTAGACAAGTGTTCACTTGTACTTACTGTAAAGTAGAAAAACAACTATTACAGAGAGAGGCAGTTTTATTTAAAAAGAATTAATTTATAAGATTTTTAGGCCGGGTGTGGTGTCTCATACCTGTAATCCCAGCTCTTTGGGAGGCTGAGATGGAAAGACTGCTTGAGCCCAAGAGTTGTTTGAGACCAGCGTGGGCAACATGGCTAAACCCCATCTCTATAAAAAATACAAAAAAATTAGTTGGGCCCGGTGGTGCGTGCCTATAATCCCAGTTACTTAAGAGGCTGGGGTGGGAGGATTGCTTGAGCTGAGATTGTACCACTGTGCTGGTACAATCTCAGTCTGAGTGACAAAGTGAGAACCCTGTCTCAAAAAAAATTTTTTTTTATATTTTAAAGGTTATAAATTTATGAATATGTTGTTTCCAGAGTAGTTCAGTTATATAGGAAGTAGATGGGGAAAAAAACGTGATTATATTTACCTGATTTCTTTTCTTCCAGGTAACAGACTGGGTTGACCCATCATTCGATGATTTGCTAGAGTGTAGAGACATCTCTACTAATACTGCCACATCATTAGGTGTGAACAACTCAAGTCATAGAAGAAAAAATGGGCCTTCTGCGTTAGAAAGTAGCATATTTCCAGCTAGAAAAAGAGGAAATCTGTCTTCATTAGAACAGATTTACGGTTTAGAAAATTCAAAAGAATATCTGTCTGAAAATGAACCATGGGTGGATAAATATAAACCAGAAACTCAGGTACTAAAAAGCATGCAGACATACCTACGTAATTTAATTTCAGGGTGCATAGGGTGGATAGAAAGCAGAAGGATGTACATTTTCAGATTTTTTACTCATAAGAATCTAAGTGTTAGAAAAAATTCTGGATTTTTTTATTTTCCAAGGCTCAGACTTACCTCAATACTTTTTCTAAAGTTCTATCATTAGTTCTTTTAGATATAATTTAATCCCAACATAGAATTGATATTTTCTTAAATTTTTGTACTAAATGTAATACTCCTCTCTACTGTCTTCTCAAATGTATTTCTGGATTTTAAAAAATGTTATAATTACAGACTTGCCAAAGTTATCATACAGAGTGCCAACTTTAGAATTTTTCTAAAATAATATAAAAGTTCAAATCAAAAGAACCATTTCATTATATAGATTGTTACTGGTTTGTTACTTTTCATTGATAGTGCTTAGGTTAATATGTGCTGATGTAACAAAAAATCTTCAGTTAAAATGTTTTGTTTTAAATTTGAAATTTTTGTTGTAGCATGAGCTTGCTGTGCATAAAAAGAAAATTGAAGAAGTTGAAACCTGGTTAAAAGCTCAAGTCTTAGAAAGGCAACCAAAACAGGTAATTAAGAAATGTGTTTTAAAATATTTAACATCAAATATTTTTCTAACTTACAGTGTGTTGTTAGAAGTTGAAGTTTTATGATGATTTTGTTCTAAATAAGTCTAGATCTCCTCCAGTAGAAAGCTCCCTGGTGAGGCGTGGTGACTCATGCCTGTAATCCCAGCACTTTGGGGGAATCCAAGGTGGGAGGATCACTTAAGCCCAGGAGCAGCCTGAGCAACATAGTGGGAGACTCTGTCTCTATAGCTAATTAACTGGGCATTGTGGTGCCTAGCTACTTGGGAGGCTGAGGTGGGAGGATAACTTGAGCCCAGGAGGTGGAAGCTGTGGTAAGCTGTGATCACACTGGTATACTCTAGCCTGGCAGCAGAACAAGACCATTAAAAAAAAGAAAAACGAAAAAAGAAAGCTTCCTGATTTTACTACTTCCAACTTCACTAAAAGACTCAGAAACTTTGAGTTTTCCCCTTTATTTGTAACTCTTTTTCTTTATGTCTTACTATTAGCATAAAGAATCAGTAAACCAATTAGGATGCTAGTGTATTTAGCACATCAGATTATCTCAGGCTAAGGAAAGCAGGCAAATTACACATTGGTTTCTATACTAAATATAGCCAAAAACAGTCATTATTTATTTTAGACTGTTGTTTTTTGTTTCACTTCCTTACTGCTCAATTACCCTGAACCCCCAAGGTAGAATATCTCTCCTTCCATCAATCTCTTTTTAGATTTTTTATTTTGAGATTTTTTAAGCATAAAGGAAAAGAGAATAATAAAAGTACTCATGTATACAGCATATACTCATTGTTTCTCCATTAGGTATTTTAAAGTAAGTTATAAACATTGTGACATTTCAGTTAGACTTTTGGATACCTCCATATGTCTCTGTTTTTTAAAAAAAAAAAAAAAAACATGATTTTCCTAATTAATTTTACATACCATTATTCTCTCTAACAAAATTAACCAGGATGCCCTAATGCTATCTAGTGATCAATTTATATTCACGTTTCTACAGTTGTCCCCAAAATGTCTTTTGTAGCTGGTTTGTTTCAAACAGGATCTAATCAAGGAGCACATGTTTAATTTGGTTGTTACATCCCTTAGGCCTTTTCTTTTTCTGAATCTAGTAATAGTTTACTTAACCCTTTCTTTTTCTCCAAGACATTGACTTATGAAGGGGATCAGGCCAGTTGACATGTAGAAGTCTCACACTCTGGATTTGTTAGGTTGTTTCCTTCTAATGTTAATTAACTTGTTCTATCCTGCATTTCCTATAACCTGTAGTCCCAGCTACTCAGAGAGCTGTCTTGAGCCCAGGAGTTCAAGGCTGTGGTGTGTAGCTGGGACTACAGGCATGTGCCACCACATCTGGCTAATTTAAAAAAAAAAAAATTTGTAGAGATAGGGTCTTGTGGTGTTGCCCACACTGGTCTTGAACTCCTGGCCTCAAGTAGCACTCCTACTTTGGCATCCCACAGTGCCAGAATTAATAGGCACGAGAGCCACCATGCCTAGCCCAAATCACTTACCCTTTATTTTAGAAAAGTTTCAGTGATGTCAGTAATTAGAAAACATTTTTATTCAAAAAAACAAAAAAAGTAGGATCTGGATTTATCAGTGGGCAAACTAAATTTACTTTTCAAAATTTATTTTAAGTACAATACACCAAATATTTGCAGAGTTTAAGTTTTCAGGACAACTTCTTTCCTTCAGAATTCCGTAAAACTCTGTTACAGTGTGGATAATGAGATGAACAAAAGTCTTCATGTTATAATGTTCTGATAAGAAACTACCTCCTAGTTCTCATAGTGGAAGGGAAATTTGCTATGTGGCTATACCTACTCTGTCAGAAAACAGGCACTTAAGTATATTACATGAAAAAATGTGTAATACCTGTGCATAGGCTTCTTTTTCTTTGTAAAGAAGTGATCTGTAGCCGGGCACGGTGGCTCAAGCCTGTAATCCCAGCACTTTGGGAGGCCGAGGCGGGTGGATCACGAGCTCAAGAGATCGAGACCATCCTGGTGAACATGGTGAAACCCCATCTCTACTAAAACTACAAAAAATTAGCTGGGCATGGTGGCGCGTGCCTGTAATCCCAGCTACTCAGGAGGCTGAGGCAGGAGAATTGCCTGAACCCAGGAGGCGGAGGTTGTGGTGAGCCGAGATCGCACCATTGCACTCCAGCCTGGGTAACAAGAGCGAAACTCCGTCTCAAAAAAAAAAAAATAAGTGATCTGTCTGATATTATAGTAGTCTTTATTCAAGGTAGTTATATTCTGTAAAGTTGCTGAATTAGCAAATACTGAACCACTGTTTCTAAGGAAAACACTAAATTAGGTTTCTGCCAACCTCTGGTGACAAGATTTTTGTCAGTTCATCAATATATAACCTTGTTTTATATGTGTTTCTGTTTAAAGATATCTTAATTAATGTACAGTCATGCTTCACTTAATGATGGGGATACATTCTGGGAAATGCATCATTAGGTGATTTCATTGTTATGAGAATATCATAGAATATACTTAATACAAAACTTACACAAACCTGTGGTATAGCCTGGAATACACCTAGGCTGTATGGTGTAGCCTCTTGCTTCTATGCTACAAACTTGTACAGCATGTTACTGTATTGAATACTGTAGACAGCTGTAACACAGTGGGAACTATGCGTATAAATAAACATACCTAAACCATACCATTAAAAAGTACAGTAAAAAGGCCGGGCTTGGTGGCTCATGCCTGTAATCCCAGCACTTTGGGAGGTCAAGGCAGGTCGGTCACCTGCTGTCAGGAATTCAAGACCAATCTGGCCAACATGGTGAAACCCCATCTCTACTAAAAATACAAAAATTAACCAGGCATGTTGGTGTGTGCTTGTAGTCCCAGCTACTCGGGAGGCACACGAATCACATGAACCCAGGTGATGGAAGTTGCAGTGAGCTGAAATCATGCCACTGCACTCCAGCCTGAGCAACAGAACAAAACTCTGTCTCAAAAAAAAAAAAAGTTTGGTAAAAACATGATTATAAAAGATAAAAAATGCTATTATACATTTACATAGGGAACTTACCGGGAATGGAAATTGTAGGACTGGAAGTTGGTTTGGGTAAGTCAGTGAGTATGAGTGGTTAGTGAAGGTCTTAGAACATTACTGTGCACCATTGTAGACTTTTACAAACATTGTACACTTAGACTATACTAAACTTAAAAAGTTTTTTGTTTAAATAAGCTTCACTTACTGGAACTTTTTGTATAGGCCATTTTAAGGACTTTATGTAGCTTTTTTACTTTATAAACTTTTAGATTCTTTCATAACATTTAGCTTAAAATACAAATACATGGTAGGGCTACACAAGTGTTTTCTTTCTTTATGTCTTTATAAACTCTTGTATTAATTTTTTAACTATTTTTTTAAATGTTTTTAAAATTAGAAATGAAGACACAAACACACATTAGCCTAGGCCTGCACAGGTTAGGATCATTAATAGCATTGCCTTCCACCTATACATCTTGTCCCACTGGAAGGTCTTCAGAGGCAACAACACATAAGGAGCTGTCATGTCTTTTTTTTTTTTTTTTTTTTTTGAGACGGAGTTTCGCTCTTGTTACCCAGGCTGGAGTGCAATGGCGCGATCTCGGCTCACCACCACCTCCGCCTCCTGGGCTCAGGCAATTCTCCTGCCTCAGCCTCCTGAGTAGCTGGGATTACAGGCACGCGCCACCATGCCCAGCTAATTTTTTTGTGTTTTTAGTAGAGACGGGGTTTCACTATGTTGACCAGGATGGTCTCGATCTCTTGACCTCGTGATCCACCCACCTCGACCTCCCAAAGTGCTGGGATTACAGGCTTGAGCCACCGCGCCCGGCGGGCTGTCATGTCTTATACAACAGTGCCTTCTTCTGCAGTACCTCCTGAAGGACTTGCCTGAGGCTGTTTTATAGTTAACCTTTTTTTTGTTTTGTTTTGTTTTGTTTTGAGACGGAGTTTCACTCTTGTTACCCAGGCTGGAATGCAATGGCGCCGTCTCGGCGGCTCACCGCAACCTCCGCCTCCTGGGTTCAGGCAATTCTCCTGCCTCAGCCTCCTGAGTCGCTGGGATTACAGGCACGCACTACCATGCCCAGCTAATTTTTTGTATTTTTAGTAGAGACGAGGTTTCACCATGTTGACCAGGATGGTCTTGATCTCTCGACCTCGTGATCCACCAGTCTCGGCCTCCCAAAGTGCTGAGATTACAGTCTTGAGCCACCGCGCCCAGCCTTTGTTTTGTTTTTGAGACGGCATCTCACTCTTGTTGCCCAGGCTGGAGTGCAATGGCTTGATCTCACTACAACCTCTGCCTCCCAGGTTCAAGCGATTCTCCTGCCTCAGCCTCCCAAGTAGCTGGAATTACAGGCATGCACAACCATGCCTGGCCAGTTTATATATATATATATATATTTTTTTTTTTTTTTTGAGACAGAGTTTCGTAGACAGGCGCCAGGCTGGAGTGCAGTGGCGCAATCTTGACTCACTGCAACCTCTGCCTCCCAGGTTCAAGTGATTCTCCTGCCTCAGCCTCCCAAGTAGCTGGGAATACAGGCATGCACCACCACGCCCAGCTAATTTTTGTATTTTTTTTTAGTACAGACGGGGTTTCACTATGTTTGCCAGGCTGGTCTCAAACTCTGGACCTCAGATGATCCACCCTCCTCAGCCTCCCAAAGTGCTGGGATTGCAGGTGTGAGCCACCAAATCTGTCCAACTTTTTTTTATAAGAACAAGTAGACTCTAGTAAGATACAGCATTGTAAATACATAAACCAGTGACGTAGTTGTTTATTATAATTATCAAGCATTATGTATTACACAATGAGTTATACATGTTGCACTTTTATATAGTTGGCAGTACAGTAGGTTTTGTACATCAGCATTACCACAAATGTGAATGATGTTTTGGATTACTACTGGGGATTTTTCAGCTTCATTATGATTTTATGAGACTACTGTCTATATGTGGACTGTATATTGTTGAGCCATATACTTTGAACTCAGTGAATAGCACTATAACTGTTGCACAGCCCTTTTCAAAAGTGGAACAGGCTCTCTTTGTCTAAGTACAGAGGTTCTTATTAAAAGAAAAAAATTTTAAGAATTACAGCCTACCATTGTATGTAGGAAATCTTCTGATATTTCTGTAGCTTTGACTTTTTTAAAAAATCAAATATATGGTATGAAGGAATGTTACTGGGATCCACAACCTATAGTCTTTCATTAGAGTCTTATGTCTGGTAAATATGTTTCTTTTTTTCTTTTTCTTTTCTTTTTTTTTTTTTTTTTGAGACAGGATCTCACTGTAATGCCCAGGATAGAGTGCAGTGGCATGATCTTGGCTCACTACAGCCTCCACCTCCTAGGCTCAAGCAATTCTCCTACTTCAGCCTCCTGACCAACTGGGACCATAGACACACACCACCATACCCGGCTAATGTTTTGTATTTTTTTTTTTTATAGAGGCAAGGTTTTGTCATGTTGACCAATCTGGTCCCAAACTCCTGGGCTCAAGCAGTCTACCTGCTTCAGCCTCCCAAAATGCTGGAATTACAGGTGTGATCCATCCTGTTCTGCCCAAATATGTATCTTAATATGGATTTCTTAAAGAATCTAATAACCAAACTGAGATCTTCCCATAAGAATATTATATTTGTATAGCAGTAATTTATATCATCCAATGAGATGTCTATATTAATAATAAATTTGGGCTAGGCACAGTGGCTCACGCCTGTAATCCCAGCACTTTGGGAGGCTGAGGCGGGTGGATCACAAGGTCAGGAGATCGAGACCATCCTGGTCAACATGGTGAAACCCCGTCTCTACTAAAAAAATACAAAAAATTAGCTGGGCATGGTGGCACGTGCCTGTAATCCCAGCTACTCAGGAGGCTGAGGCAGAAGAATTGCCTGAACCCCGGAGACGGAGATTGCGGTGAGCTGAGATTGTGCCATGGCACTCCAGCCTGGGTAACGAGTGAAACCCCGTCCAAAAAAAAGAATTAAGTTTTATGAGTTCCGGTAATCTCTAAAAATCTTTGTTTCAGACATCACCTCCCTAATTTAGTCCAAGTTTAGTTGTTTTAACTTGGTTACTAAGTAGTCTTTGGGAGGGACATAATGCAAGAATTGAGACATTATCAGAAGCAGAATTTAGAGTTGAAGAAATAAGATTCTCTTATTTCTGTGTTTGCAGGTGTTTTTGTATGCAAAAGGGGTAAAAAGGCAATTAAAAAAAAGAAAAATAATAAAGTTGGTTTATTCCAGCAAGCATTATTAGGAAATTTAATCTGCTTATACGAGACATGGAGCAAATACTTATAGAAGTAAATAAATAATATTTAGAATGAAAAGTCAGAAATAATATTCTAGCATTCCAATGATTTGGGTTTTTAATTAATATTTATATTTGATTTTAGGGTGGATCTATTTTATTAGTAACAGGTCCTCCTGGATGTGGAAAGACAACAACCATAAAAATACTATCAAAGGAGCTTGGTATTCAAGTACAAGAGTGGATTAATCCAGTTTTACCAGACTTCCAAAAAGATAATTTCAAGGAAATGTTTAATACTGGTAAGATTTGCTGTGAAGGTTCTGGAAGTAGTGGGGAAAACCTATTCTTAAGGGACCTTTCAGATAAAGTTCTATGAGTGCATTTTTTCCCATACTTTCCACTTTCAGAGGGACGGAATTTCACAGGCCATGTGTGATGGCTCTCACGTGGGAGGCTGAGGCAGGAAGATTGCTTGAGGCCAGGAGTTAAAGACCAGGCTGGACAATATAGCCAGACCCTGTCTACAAAAATAAAAAAAAATAGGTATAGTGTTCTGCACCTGTAGTTTCAGCTACTCGGGCTGAAGTGGGAGGGTCAACTTGAGCCCAGGAGTTCAAGGTTATAATGAGCTATGATTGTACCATCATCGTGCTCCAGGCTGGGCAACAGAGTGAGACACTGTCTCAAAAAGAAAATAAAAAGTTGGCCGGGCGCGGTGGCTCAAGCCTGTAATCCCAGCACTTTGGGAGGCCGAGGCGGGTGGATCACGAGGTCGAGAGATCGAGACCATCCTGGTCGACACGGTGAAACCCCGTCTCTACTAAAAATACAAAAAAAAATTAGCTGGGCATCATGGCACGTGCCTGTAATCCCAGCTACTCAGGAGGCTGAGGCAGGAGAATTGCCTGAACCCAGGAGGCGGAGGTTGCGGTGAGCCGAGATCGCGCCATTGCACTCCAGCCTGGGTAACAAGAGCGAAACTCCGTCTCAAAAAAAAAAAAAAAAAAAAAAAAAAAGAAAAGAAAAAGTTATTTCAGGAGAAGGAAAAAAAGCATGTCTCCAATGGAAGGGAATGGAATTTTTTAAAGATTAAGTCTTAACTGTTTTGTTAACATGTTCTTCTGTTTGCATTATTTATCAACTTTTTTCTTTTTTCAAGACAGAGTCTCCCTCTGTCACCCAGGCTGGAGTGCAGTGGCACAATCTTGGCTCACTACAGCCTCCACCTCCCTCCTGAGTAGCTGGGACTACAGGCATGTGCCACCAAGCCCAGCTAAATGTTTGTATTTTTAGTAGAGATGGGGTTTCACGGTGTTAGCCAGGATGGTCTCATGATCTGCGCATTTCAGCCTCCCAAAGTGCTGGGATTACAGGTGTGAGCCACTGCACCCAGCCTGTTTATCTACTTTTTTCTAAGATCTGGCTAGGAGGTTAGACAGTGTTAAATAAGATATTTTATTTGTTAAATCAAGCCTTAAGATGTGTTAAAAAAAAAAAAAAAAACTTGCGGCCCCAACAAGATAACATAGATCAGTAAATACCTGCTTTAAAAAAATCAAATGAAAGCAAAAGGCAAGGATGTCTTTGGAATTTGGAAGGAGGCCTTAAGATAATGACTCAAAAATTGATAATAGTAACTATTTTATTTATTTATTTATCGAGACAGATTCTCACTCTGTCACCCAAGTTGGAGTGCCACCTCCATCTCCCAGTCTCAAGCTGTTCTCATGCCTCAGCCTCCCGAGTAGCTGGGATTACAGGCATGCACCACCACATCCAGCTAATTTTTGTATTTTTAGTAGAGATAGGGTTTTGGCATGTTAGCTAGGCTGGTTTCAAATTCCTGGCTTCAAGTGATCCGTCTGCCTCAGCCTCCCAAACTGCTGGAATTACAGGCGTGAGCCACCACTCCCAGCCCTCCTTTTGGGTCTCTCTTTTTTCTATAGGATTCTTCTGCAAGAAGAGTTCTTTGCCAGGAGCAGCCTTCTGCTTTGGGTTTCTTCTCCCATCTTTCTAGTGTTGGAACTCATTTAGAAAGTCTTCATTGGTAGGCCAAAGTCATAAATATTTTTACCAATTATATGAATGTTATACTGACAGCTGTGTTCTTAGGTCAGTTAACTCTATATTACACAGAGTCTCACTCCTATTAAAAGAAAACAAATAGCAAGAATAGCAAGAGTCCTCTACGTAATATAGACTTAACTCACTGCAACCTCCTAGGCTCAAGCAATCCCCACCGTCTCAGCCCATCAAGTAGCTGGGACTACAGGCACAAGCCTCCACACCTGGCTAATTTTTGTATTTTTTTGTAGAAACAGGGTTTTACCATGTTGCCCAGGCTGCTGTTGAACTCCTGAGGTCAAGCAATCCATCTACCTTGGCCTCCCAAAATGCTAGGATTACAGTCATGAGCCACTGTGCCTGGCCCCATGTTGACTCTTATCTTTTGAAAGGAATATCCTATTTTAAATTTAAATAATTTTTCATAATTAGGAAATAGTCTACAGTATTGTGAGATGCCTCGAGTGTATGTGTGTGTGTGTGTGTGTGTACATACAGATGTATAATATTAATTTATGTAATTTGTTGAAAATAAAAATGGTATATGTGTTTCCTTTCAGAATCAAGCTTCCATATGTTTCCCTATCAGTCTCAGATAGCAGTTTTCAAGGAGTTTCTACTAAGAGCAACAAAGTATAACAAGTTACAAATGTTTGGAGATGATCTGAGAACTGATAAGAAGATAATTCTGGTTGAAGTAAGGACAACTTTAAAATTTTTTTATTATTTTTTTTATTTTTATTTTTTGGAGACAGTCTCCCTTTAACCCCCAGGCTGGAGTTCAATGGTGCAATCTTAGCTCACTGTAACCTCTGCCCTCTGCTTCCTGTACTGAAACAATTCTCAAGCCTCAGCCTCCCCTGAGTGGCTAGGATTATAGGCATCTGCCACCATGCCGGGCTAATTTTTGTATATTTAGTGGAGATGCGGTTTCACTATGTTGATGAGGCTGATCTCGAATTCCTGACCCTCAGGTGATCTGCCCACCTTGGCCTCCCAGAGTGCTGGGATTACAGGTGTAAGCCATTGTACCCAGCCAGCTTTTAAAATCTTTCTGTAGCTATTGACCAAACAGTTGTGAGATATACCTTACATGATAACTTTAACTGTTTCCATAGTAGTAATATTGGTAAAATACAGCATAAAGGCTTTGTAATAGTAGAAACCTAAAGTCTTCTTTAATAAACCTGAATGGAGTAGCTGTAGGATAAGGAACATTAAATTTTTAATGGTTTAAGTATAGAAAAGCAAAAGGAAAGTTTGGAAAATTACTTCCCAGTGAAAATACTGTAACTGAAAAGCAACCCTAAGAAATTTGGTCTGAAATTGAGATCCCCACTGATGTATATATATTACTGTTTGGTATATCAGCTATTTCATGTTTCCTTTAACTTTTATGAAAGTTCTCTTTAAAATATATAGAATAAGTATATTTTTAAGTGTAAGTATGCTTAAGTGTAAGTATAAATCTGAAAAATAAATTATAAATCTGAAAAATAAATATGCAATGGAATAAACTATATTATTATTTATTTTTTATGTTCCATAGGATTTACCTAACCAGTTTTATCGGGATTCTCATACTTTACATGAAGTTCTAAGGTAAGTTTCAGTGAAGTATTCTAAAACTCCAAATTAAATGACAAGTGGCTACTTGGGAGGCTGAGGCAGGAGAATTGCTTGAACCCAGGAGGCGGAGATTGCGGTGAGCCAAGATCGCGCCATTGCACTCCAGCCTGGGTAACAAGAGCAAAACTCCGTCTCAAAAAATAAAATAAAATAAAATAACAAGTGGCTTAAATTTCAACATTCCTGTATTTTGTTATTTTAGGAAGTATGTGAAGATTGGTCGATGTCCTCTTATATTTATAATCTCTGACAGCCTCAGTGGAGATAATAATCAAAGGTTATTGTTTCCCAAAGAAATTGAGGAAGAATGTTCTATCTCAAATATTAGGTAAGAAAGAAATTTCTGTTTATAAAGACCATATACATACTATATTTTTAACTTAATCATTTAACTGCTATCTTTCTTCATAAAACTTTTAGTTTCAACCCTGTGGCACCAACAATTATGATGAAATTTCTTAATCGGATAGTGACTATAGAAGCTAACAAGGTAAGTCTTCAAGTAAACCTTACAACTATAGAAAGTCCAGCTTAAGCTTACATAGTATTATGTAAATTGAAGGAGCTAGCGATGTGTATTATTTTAATTTTTTAGAATTAAAACATTTTGTTATAAAGCATGTCATTTTAGCAAATGTAGGAAATACTGATTTTTAAATTTTTCCTACTATTAAACTTTCACTTTCACATTGAGATATATTTTTCCTTTGCTTGGTTTACTATTCTAAATTGTATCTGTCATCAAGAAAATGTTTTCTGGTATTTAAGTTTGGTAGTTACCAGTAATTCAACTGTTTCTATTGTCCTGTTGTCACTTTTTTAACTTTTTAAAAAAATGTGTAGTGACAAACATATTATAAAATATGTCATCTTAACCATTTTAAGATATATAGTTCAGTAGTGTAAAGTATATTTACATTCACATACAACTGTTGTCACTTTTTTTTGTTTGTTTTTTTGAGACAAGGTCTCACTCTGTTGCTGAGGCTAGACTACAGTGGCATAATCATGGCTCACTGCAACCTTGACCTCTTGGGCTCGAGTGTTCTTCCACCTCAGCTTCCCGAGCAGCCTGAACTACAGGCTGGCACCACCATGACTGGCTAATTTTTTTATTTTTTGTAGAGACAGGGTCTCCCTTTATTGCCCAGGCTCGTCTCAAATTCCTGGTTCAAGTGACCCTCCCGCCTCAGCCTCTTAAAGTGCTGAAATTTCAGGTGTGACCCTCTGTGCCCGACCTCTTGTCACTTTCAGTATGTCATTTTTTTCTATACTTCAAATCAAGGTGATGTTAAAAAGAAAAAAACTGATGGACCTTCTGCTCCCAGCATCATGGTTCTGGGGAATCCTACTGGTATACACCAACCAATTCATGCATAAAACATAATTTTTGTTGCACTGCTACGATGACAGGAACTGAGGGAAATCTCAAAGGGAAAGGTTTTGAGGATTAAACATATTAATGTAGAGCAACTAGCTGAATAAATAACAGATATTAATAGTGAAAAATGAGAATCTGAGTCCAATAATACAGGAAGCAATTACTGTGATGAATTATTATGCCATTAGTGTTTTGAAAATATTTAATGGGTCCGGCTTGGTGGCTCATGCCTGTAATCCTAGCACTTTGGAAGGCCAAGGCGGGAAGATCACCTTAGGTCAGGAGTTTGTGACCAGCCTGGCCAATAAGGCAAAACCCCATCTTTGATAAAAATACAAAAATTAACTGGTGTGGTGGTGGGCACCTGTAATTCCAGCTGCTCAGGAGGCTGAGTCAGGAGAATTGCTTGAACCCGGGGGACTGAGGTTGCAGTCAAATGAGCCAAGATCAAGCCAATTCACTCCAGCCTGGACAAAGAGTGAAACTCCATCTAAAAGAAAATTATATATTTAATGACATGGAAAATGATCAAAATTTAATGTTACATTAAAAATAAAATAACGAGAGGTGGCCCAGTATGGTGGCTTATTCTTGTAATCCCAGTACTTCAGAAGGCTGAGACAGGAGGATTGCTTGAGGCCAGGAGTTTGAGACCAGCCTGGGTATTATAGCAATACTCTGTCTTTACAAAAAAAAAATTTAAAGCAGGGTCTCACTCTGTTACCTAAGCTGGAGTACAGTGGTGTGATCTTGGCTCACTGCAGCCTCACCCTCCCAGGCTCAAGCAGTGCTCCCACCTCAGCCTCCCAAGTAGCTGGGACTACAGACATGCAGCACAACAGCAGACTCGTTTTTTTTTTTTTTTTTTGGTTGTTGCTTATTTGTTTGATATGGGGTCTCTCTCTGCTGCCCAGGCTGGAGTGCGGTGGTACAATCTCAGCTCACTGCAGTCTCTGCCTCCTGGTTCAAGTGATTCTCATGCCTCAGCCTCCCAATAGGTGGAATTACAGGTATGCACCATCATATCCAATTAATATATGTATTTTAGTAGAGACAGGTTTTCACCATGTTGGCCAGGCTGGTTTCAAACTCCTGGCATCAAGTGATCCATCCACACCTCAGTGTCCCTAAGTGCTGGGGTTATAGGCTGAGCCATTATAATTGGTCCTGGCTAGTTTGTTTTGAATTTTTTGTAGACACAGGGTTTTGCCATGTTGCCCAGGCTTGTCTCAAACTCCTGAGAAGCAATCTGCCTGCCTCAGCCTCCCAAAGTGCTAGAATTACAGATGTGAGCCACAGTGCCCAGCCTACAAAAGATTTCTTAAAAAGTTAACTGGGCATGGTGGTACGCTCCTGTAGTCCCAGCTACTCAGAAGGCTGAGGCAAGAGGATCACTGGAGCCCAGGAGTTGGAGGCTGCAGAGATCTAGGTGACACGACTGTAGTCTGTCGTGGACAGAGCTAGACCCTATCTCTAAAAAAATTTTTTTTTGTTTGGGCGCAGTGGCTCACGCCTCCAGCACTTTGGGAGGCTTAGGCGGGCAGATCACAAGGTCAGGAGATCGAGACCATCTTGGCTAACACAGTGAAACCCCATCTCTACTAAAAATACAAAAAATTAGCCAGGTGGTTGTCATGTGCCTATAGTCCCAGCTAATTGGGAGGCTGAGGCAGAAGAATCACTTGAACTTGGGAGGCAGAGGTGTCAGTGAGCCGAGATCACACCCCTGCAGGCTATCCTGGGCATCAGAGCAAGACTCCATCTAAAAAAAAATAAGTCTTTTTTTAAAGGGGCAAAATTATGTAACACTATCAATAGAAATTATGTCATCAGGCCAGGTGAGGTGACTCACGCCTGTAATTCCAGCACTTTGGGAGGCCAAGGTGGGCAGATCACCTGAGGTTGGGAGTTTGAGACCAGCCTGACCAACATGGGGAAACCCTATCTCTACTAAAAATACAAAAATTAGCTAGGCATGATGGCGGGTGCTTGTAATCCCAGCTAGTTGGGAGGCTGAGGCAGGAGAATCGCCTGAACCTGGGAGGCGGAGGTTGCAGTGAGTCGAGATTGTGCCATTACACTCCAGCCTGGGCAACAAGAGCAAAACTCCATCACAAAAAAGAAATTATGTCATCAGCCCTTGATAAGTGACAGGCACTATACAAAGTATCAGATGAGATTAAAGTTTGGTTCTGACCCTAATTTACTATGCTGAAACAAACAGTGTGAATAACAAAATACATACATGTGTGTATATATATATACGTATATATGTGTATATATGTATATACACACACACACATACACACATATAAACCTATGCATATTAGAAAAAAAGTACACAGAAATGCTAAGTGTGATTAGTTCTGGATGGTAGGATTACTTGTGTTTTGAGGTCTTTAAAAAAAAAAACTACCCTACTTTGGGTGCAGTGGCTCACACTTATAATCCCAGCACTTTAGGAGGCCGAGGTGGGTGGATCAACTGAGATCAGGAGTTTGAGACCAACCTGGCCAACATGGAGAAACCCTGTCTCTACTAAAACTATAAAAATTAGCTGGGCATGATGATGCGGCAGGAACCTGTAATCACAGCTACTCCTGAGGCTGAGGCAGGAGAGTCGCATGAACCCGGGAGGCAGAGGCTGCAGCGAGCCGAGATTGTGCCATTGCACTCCAGCCTGGGTAACAAAGTGAGACTCCATCTCAAAAACAAAACAAAAAAAAACTACCCTGTAATCCCAGCACTTTGGAAGGCTGAGACGGACAGATCACTTGAGGTCAGGAGTTCAAAAACAGCCTTGCCAACATGGTGAAATCCCGTCTCTACTAAAAATACAAAGATTAGTTGGATGTGGTGGTGCACACATGTAGTCCCAGCTACTCTGGAGGCTGAGGCAGAATTGCTTGAACCCAGGAAGCGGAGGCTGCAGTGAGCTGAGATTGCATCACTGTACTCCAGCCTGGGTGGCAGAGCGAGACATTGTCTCAAAAAAAAACTACATTCTCTACTATAAGCATGAGAACTGCAAATTGAGCCATGGTGCATGCCTGTAGTCCCAGCTACAAAGACTGAGATGGGAGGATTGGTTGAGCCCAGGAGCTCAAGGCCAGCCTGGATGATAATAGTGAGACCTTGTGTCAAGAAAAAAGTGTTTTTTAAGTGACTTGATCAGTTCAAATGGCTCCAGTTTAAAAAAATAAAAAAAAGAAGAAGAAGAAATAATTGGGGTAATTGTGGCTTTTTCATCCTCACCAGATTGTATAATATGTTGAAAACCCTAGTAAAGGAATTTTCATGTAAATTTTGTAAATATATCAGATTATTTTGTGTATATTTAATTTTATCACATTCTTTTTTTTTTTTTTTTTTTTTGAGATGGAGTTTTGCTCTTGTTACCCAGGCTGGAATGCAATGGTGCGATCTCAGCTCACCACAACCTCCGCCTCCTGGGTTCAGGCAATTCTCCTGCCTCAGCCTCCTGAGTAGCTGGGATTACAGGCACACGCCACCATGCCCAGCTAATTTTTTGTATTTTTAGTAGAGACGAGGTTTCACCATGTTGACCAGGATGGTCTCGATCTCTTGACCTTGTGATCCACCCACCTCGGCCTCCCAAAGTGCTGGCATTACAGGCTTGAGCCACCGCACCCAGCCAATTTTATCACATTCTATTGCATTTTGAGGGGTTTTTTTGTGTGTGTATGTATGTGTACATATATAGGTTGGTATATATCTGTGTGTGTATAGTGAGAAAAAGTAAAAACTTTAAAATACAACATGGTCAAAGTGAAAAAGTAAAAAAATGCAGTATTTAATATTTCCTGAAAGTTTACCTTAAACTGTAGTAAGTCATTGATGCTTGTACCATTCATAGACCAGTGTTTAACATGGAGGCTTTTTAGTTTTTTATTATTATTTTAAGATAATTTTTTTTTCTGGCCCTATTGCCCAGGCTGGAGTCCGGTGGCAAGATCATAGATCACTGCAGCCTTCATCTCAAGGGCTCAAGTGATCTTCGAACCTTAGCCTCAAAAGTGGCAGGGACTACAGGCTCACACCACACCAGCTAATTCTTCTGATGTTTTGTAGAGATAAGGTCTTCCTATCTTGCCTAGGCTGGTTTCGAACTCCTGAGCTCAAGTGTTCCTTTTGCCTCAGCCTCTCCCACATTGCTGAGATTACAGGAATGTGCCACCGTGTCCAGCCCTTTTTAGTATTTAAGTTTAAAAGAATCTAATTTACTTTCATTAAGTTTAGAAAATAAACTTAATGGGTTTTTTGTTGTTGTTATTTTTAAGAAAATACTCTTTTTTTAATTTTAGAATGGAGGAAAAATTACTGTCCCTGATAAAAGTGCTCTAGAGTTGCTGTGTCAAGGATGTTCTGGTGATATCAGAAGTGCAATAAACAGCCTCCAGTTTTCTGCTTCAAAAGGTAACTATGGAAGATACAGTCATGTGGCATTACTGACTTTCTCTTAATTATTCATTCAAGAAATCAAAATAAACTTTTTTTTTTTTTTTTTTAGACAGAGTCTTGCTCTGTCACCAGGCTGGAGTGCATTGGTGAGATCTCAGCTCACCACAACTTCCACCTCCCTGGTTCAAGTAGTTCTCCTGCCTCAGCCTCCGAGTAGCTGGGACTACAGGCGTACACTGCCACACCCAGCTAATTTTTGTGTTTTTAGTAGAGACAGGGTTTCACCATGTTGGTAAGGTGTTGGTCAGGCTGGTCTCGAACTGCTGACCTCAAGTGATCCACCTGCCTCGGCCTCCCCAAGTACTGGTATTACAGGTGTGAGCCACCGTGCCTGGCCAATAAACTTTTATTTACGAATGAGACAAGGGTCTCGCTCTTGTTGCCCAGGCTAGAGTGCAATGGTGCGATCTTGGCTCACCACAACTTCTGCCTCCCAGGTTCAGGTGCTCTCCTGCCTCAGCCTCCTGAGTAGCTGGGATTACAGGCATGAGCCACCACGCCCAGCTAATTTTTTGTATTTTTAGTAGAGACGAAGTTTCACTATGTTGGTCAGGCTAGTCTTCCAACTCCTGACCTCAGGTGATTTACCTGCCTCGGCCTCCCAAAGTGCTGTGATTACAGGTGTGAGCCACCTTTCCCAGCCTAATTAATTTATTATTTTTTATTTTTTTAAAGTCGGGGTTTCACCATGTTGGTCAGACTGGTCTTGAACTCCCGACCTCAGGTGATCTGCCCGCCTTGGCCTCCACAGTGCTTGGATTACAGGCGTGAGCCACTATTCCTGGCCTAATTAATTAATTTTTTTGAGATAGAGTTTGACTCTTGTTGCCCAGGCTGGAATGCAATGGCGCGATCTCAGCTCACTGCAACCTCTGCCTCCCAAGTTCAAGCAATTCTCCTGCCTCAGCCTCCTGAGTAGCTGGGATTACAGGCACCTGTCACCATGCCCAGTTTTTTGTTTTTTTTTTTAGTAGAGGCAGGGTTTCACCATGTTGGTCAGGCTGGTTGTTAACTCCTGACCTCAAGTGATCCACTTGCCTTAGCCTCTCAAGGTTCTGGGATTACAGGCATGAGCCACCATGCCAGCCAAAATAAACATTTTAACTTATATTTGATCTATACCTATCTATTCTTCTTTTTTATTGAGACAGTGGCTTAAAAAGAAATATGTACACATGCATACATACCCTTATATGAATATGTTGTAGTATGTATCCTTGTTTCTGTTTGAGTTAGTTGACCTTTCAAAGTTAATTTAAAATGAGACTTCCTTTATAAAAATTCTGCCTCTGCCACTTACCAGTTATATAGGCCTATGCAGATGGCTTTATCTTCTGTGCCTCTTTTTTCTCACCTTTTATGTGAGAACTTACCTCTTAGGGTTCTGTGAAGAATACGTAAGATGATACTTATAGAGTGCTTCTTACAGTGCTTGATTCATATTAAGTGCTCAATAAATGGCCAGCCATTAATCAGTTTAACAGTATTGTGCTGAGGTAGGTTTACTTTTTAAATTATTTTTACGATAATTTATGAGGTATATTTAATAAATTTATTTCCCGTTAATATGTAAAAAGTGTGAATAACCATGATGTAGCAAAAAGATAGCTTCACTAATGGCAATGAGTTACATTTGTACTGTAATGATCATGATTTACTGCATTGTCCTTATCGGAAGGCATTTAGCAGATACTTAATGCTTAATGTTAACAATTTGACCTTAAAGAGTGGGCCAGAAACTATGTTAGCAATTAGGTTTTTTCATTTAATTCTCATATCAGCCTAATGAGATAGACAGTACATTGATTCAAATCCAGATCCTGTGCTCTTTCTGCTGTTTTAAGCAGCTTTTTTTTTTTTTTTTTGAGGTGGAGTTTCGCTCTTGTTACCCAGGCTGGAGTGCAATGGCGTGATCTCGGCTCACCGCAACCTCCACCTCCTGGGTTCAGGCAATTCTCCTGCCTCAGCCTCCTGAGTAGCTGGGATTACAGGCACACGCCACCATGCCCAGCTAATTTTTTGTATTTTTAGTAGAGATGGGGTTTCACCATGTTGACCAGGATGGTCTCGATCTCATGACCTCGTGATCCACCCACCTCGGCCTCCCAAAGTGCTGGGATTACAGGCTTGAGCCACCGCGCCCGGCCCTTAAGCAGCTTTTAAGGCATGTACTTGAGTTCTAAATAGTAGACTTAAAAATGAAATTTGGAGCAGGCATGGTGACTCTTGTCTGAAGCCAAGGTGGCTAAATTACTTGAGCCTAGGAGTTTGAAACCAGCCAGGTCAACATAGCAAGACCTTGTCTCTACAAAAAAATTAAGGAAAAAAAAACAAGAAATTTGATCACATGCATATTCATAAATTGGGTACTCTCAACATCAATAGAGAGTTTGTTAAACATAGATTGCAAAACCAGACTGCCTGGATTCCAGTCACTCACTCACTGATGACCTTGAGCCAGTTATTTAACCTCTTTAAACCTCTTTATATCTCATTTCATTAACTGTCTAATAATAATTCTTGGTCAGGTACAGTGGCTCATGCCTGTTATCCCAATATTGTTGGAGACTAAGGTGGAAGGAAGCTTCAACTTCAGGAGTCTTATATCAGCCTGAGCAACATAGCGAGACCTCATCTCTAATTTTAAAAAATATAGCCAGCATGGTGGTGCATACCTGTAGTCCTGGCTACTTGAGAGGCTGAGGTGGGAGGATCGCTTGAGCCTGGAGGTTCAGCCTTCAGTGAGCTATGATTGTGCCGCTGTACTCCAGCCTGGGTGATAGACCCAGACCCTGTGTCAAAAAAAAAAAAAAAAAAAAAACGCTGGGTGTGGTGGCTCATGCCTATAATCCCAGCACTTTGGGAGGGCAAGTCAGGTGGATCACTTGAGATTGGGAGGTCATGACCAGCCTGGCCAACATGGTGAAACCCTGTCTCTGCTAAAAATACAAAAAATTATCCGGGCATATGTCTGTAATCCCTGCTGCTTGGAAGGCTGAGGCAGGAGAATCACTTGAACACAGGAGGCACAGGTTGTGGTTAGCCGAGATCGCACCCCTGCACTCCAGCATGAGTGACAGAGCAAGACACCATCTCAAAAAAAAAAATAATAATAATCCTCTCACAGGGTTATTATGAAGATTAAATTCATGTGTATCACATACCAAGAACAGTACCTTTCACATAACACCATGAGAAACCAAGGTGATATGACTAACAGGTTGAATATCCTTTATTTGAAATACTTGGGAATAGAAGGATTGTAGATTCTTTTTAGATTTTGGAATATTTGCAGTATACCAATTGAAAATCCCTCATGTGAAAATCTGAAGGACAAAGTGCTCCAGTTGAGCATTTTCTTTGAACCTCATATTGGCACTGCAATTTTCATATTTTGGAGCATTTCAGGGTTTGAATTTTTGGATGAGGAATGTCAGCCTATTAGAGAGTGTGCTATTGTGCATGTGAAAGTTTGAAATCTGCATTATGAAATAACTTTCAAATAGCACTTTATTCTATTTTAATGTTAGTAACCCAAAGAGGACTCTGATTCAGTTAATGTCATTTATAATTTTTGGTTATTAGGAAAATATAGTTTAATTAAAATATTTAGTGTAACTTTATTTATATAACACTAAAAACACTTAAGTGTTTTTAGTTTTAATTTTCACATTTTAATTTAAATATTGTCACTTGGGTGTATATTATTCAGGAGAAAACAACTTACGGCCAAGGAAAAAAGGAATGTCTCTAAAATCGGATGCTGTGCTGTCAAAATCAAAACGAAGAAAAAAACCTGATAGGGTTTTTGAAAATCAAGAGGTCCAAGCTATTGGTGGCAAAGACGTTTCTCTGTTTCTCTTCAGAGCTTTGGGGAAAATTCTATATTGCAAAAGTAAGAAATTTTTACATTTTTTAGATCTGTTGGACGTCACATAGTCTTAAGATGGAAATAAAATGTCACCTTTTAAAAAACGTCATGTATTTTGGTTCTACTCTAAGAGCTAAGGCTAGGTCAGATGCTATTTGCCTAGGCCTAAGATGTAGTAGGAAAATAGAGTATTTTCTGACCATGAGCAGGATGATTAAAAATAAAAACATGGTATTGTAGACCATATCCATGCATGTAAATCTTTAAAATTACAGTTTGCAGAAGGTAAGAGTGCAGATCATCTAGACTTTTAGTGGCAAGTGTTGATAGCCTAAAGTCCTCTAAGGGTTTGGTAGCCTAAACCCCACTGGGCTCCAGCCACCGGGGGCTTAGACAAATGAGGTAGTTTAGGGTTTCTTTCAATCCTCTTGTATTTGTCTGGTTTACAAGCCTGGTGTCTCCCCAACAAGAGATGTTTATTGCCCTTTCTGTCTTTTTTGATGACTGCTCCCTCTCAGCTCCTCCCCTCCCTATTGCCCATCTGTAGTCTCCCAAATTGTCCCTCCTTTTGATAGCAAATGCCTATTTTCACTCTAATGATTCTAAATGAAAGAAATTAGGATTTTTTTTTTTTTAAAACGCTTAAGTTCTGGGGTACATGTGCAGAGCGTACCGGTTTGTTACATAGGTTTACACTTGCCATGGTGGTTTGCTCACCTCATCATCCACATTAGGTATTTCTCCTAATGCTATGCCTCCCCTAACACAGCCCCCCACCCCCACCAACAGGCCCCGGTGTATGTGTTCTCGTTGTTCAACACCTACTTCTAAGTGGGAACATGCAGTGTTTGGTTTTCTGTTCTTGTGTCAGTTTGCTGAGAATGATGGTTTCCAGCTTCATCCATGTCCCTGCAGAGGACATGAACTCAGAAATTGGGATTTCTAAATGGAAACCTTCATATCATCTGAGGAAAATGAAATGGGCACCACTTAGGTGGCAGTGAGGACACTCCTCTGTCACTGGATCCTCTTACTTTGAACCTGAGTGACTATTTCCACCTGATGCTTTTTCTTCCCCTAATTCTTTTCCTCCCCAACACAAATTTATCTTCTCTTTCTTGCATTAGTGAATGGAATTCTTACTCTTTCATGTAGAGAACACCATCTTCCTACATCGTAAATAAAAGAGTAAAGACCACTGCATTGAGATGAGAATCAAGGGAAGAAAGCAACCCAAAGCTGGAAAAAGTGAAATGGGAAGCATTAGGAAATAGAATATTTTAAGTGTAGAAATGCCATAATCTAAGCATCAGAATTCTAAATTTAGCTCTTGCTAATATGGAAAAAATGGGTGCTTGCTTCCAGTTGTTTGTTTATTCTTTTTTGACAGTTTGCTTACTGTGTTGGCATTGTATGTCTAAAGTTTTCAAAAGGTTCAAATGAGAGGTGCTATATAATTATAAAGAATATATTTAATAATTTCAGAAATTTTTTATAGGAACATCTTTAACAGAATTAGACTCATCTCGGTTGCCGTCTCATTTATCAGAATATGAACGGGATACATTGCTTGTTGAACCTGAGGTAAGATTTTTAATGACAATTAGTACAGGTTACAAAAGATATGTTATTTGTGTGCATATATATCTGACCATTACATTTTTACCAAATTTATATATCTATGCTTTTTTTTCAATAGGAGGTAGTAGAAATGTCACACATGCCGGGAGACTTATTTAATTTATATCTTCACCAAAACTACATGGATTTCTTCATGGAAATTGATGATATTGTGAGAGCCAGTGAATTTCTAAGTTTTGCAGATATCCTCAGTGGTGACTGGAATGTAAGGCCATTTGACTTACATGTTTATGTACCAGTATTTCCTTAGAATTAAGAAAGTTTACTTTTATCCCTAATTGCCTGGCATACTTCATAACTATGCTGAAGTTAATGTATCCAACTCAGTGTTTATAGTGAAGCTTCAGTAGCAAATCTGATTTTGCTGCTGATAATATAGCACCGATTATTTCTAAAGTTTGTGTTTGTGTGTGTGTGTGTGTGTGTGTGTGTGTGTGTGTGTGTAGGTGCGTGTGTAGAGACAGGGTCTCACTGTGTTGCTCAAGCTGGTCTCAAATTCCTGGGCTCAGACAGTCCTCTTGCCTGAGCCTCTTAAAGTGCTGGGATTACAAGCGTGAGCTACCACTCCGATCTCTCAAATTATTTTCTGGTTTTGTGGTTATGGTTTTTCGTTTTATGAGAGGAGGCTCTAGCTATAGCTGTGTTACCCAGCCTGATCTTGAACTACTGGCTTTAGGGGAAACCTTTTGTCTCTGCCTTCCAAGTAGCTGGGAATTCAGGCACATACCACCATGCCCAACTTATTTTCTTTTTCTTTTATTTATTTTTTTTTTGAGGCAGTATCTCACTTTTTTGCTCTGGCTGGAGTGTAATGATACAAACACGGCTCACTGCAACCTTGACTTTCTGGGTTCAGGTGATCCTCCAACTTCAGGCACTCCCTCATCGAGTAGCTGGGACTATAGGCAAGCACCGCTATGCCCTGCTAATTTCTTTCTTTTTTTTTTTTTTTTTTTTTTTTTTTAGAGACAGGGTTTTACCATATTACCCATGCTGGTCTGGAACTCCTGAGCTCAAGCGATCTACCTGCCCTGGCCTCTAAAGTGCTGAGATTACAGGAATGAACCACCACGCCTGACCCCAGCTCATTTTCTGATTTCAAAATTAATATATACTCAAAATTTGACAACCATTAAAAAGTAGATACAAGGCCAGGCGCGGTGGCTCAAGCCTGTAATCCCAGCACTTTGAGAGGCCGAGGCTGGTGGATCATGAGGTCAAGAGATCGAGACCATCCTGGTCAACATGGTGAAACCCCGTCTCTACCAAAAATACAAAAAATTAGCTGGGCATGGTGGCACATGCCTGTAATCCCAGCTACTCAGGAGGCTGAGGCAGAATTGCCTGAACCCAGGAGGCGGAGGGTGCGGTGAGCCGAGATCGCGCCGAGCCGAGATCGCGCCATTGCACTCCAGCCTGGGTAACAAGAGGGAAACTCCGTCTCAAAAAAAAAAAAAAAAAAAGTAGATACACGAGAAAGAACTGTACATGTTGCTACATTTGGGCTAGTTTTAAAAATGTATTTCTTTTACATATTTGTAAGTATTTACTATAAAATTTATATATTTTTTTAACATCTTAACACTGCCCTTACCTGTACAACAGCCACCAACCACATGTAGCTACTGACATTTAAATTTAATTAAAAATTCAGTTTCTCAGTCATACTAGCCACATCTCCAGTACTTGATAACTGCATGTGGCTGATGGCTGTTTTATTTAACAGCCCAGATACAAAACATTTCCATCATTACAGGCAGTTCTGTTGGACAACACTGTTTTGATATGTTAATATTTCTGTGTGTTATAAGTATTAAATTAAGGCCGGGCTCAGTAGGGTACACCTGTAAACTCAGCACTTACAGAGGCTGAGGCAGGCAGAACTCACTTGAGCTCATGAGTTCGAGACCAACTGGAGTAACATGACAAAACCCTGTCTCTATAAAGAAATACCAAGAAAATTCCTTGGGCATAGGTGGTCCCAGCTACTCAGGAGGCTGAGGTGGGAGAATCACCTGAGCCCAGGAATTTGAGGTTATAGTGAGTTGTGATTGTGCCACTGCACTCCAGGCTGGGCAACAGACCAGAACCCTGTCTTAGATAATAATACAAAATAATGAAAAGACTGTAATTGAATTGTTTGTGACACAAAGGATAAATGCTTGAAATAATGGATACCCCATTTACCTTGAGATGATGATTATGCATTGTATGCCAGTATCAAATTACCTCATGTACCTCATAAATACGTGCAGCTACTAGGTACCCACACAAATTTAAAATTTTTTTTTAATGATAGTGCAATGAATAGCTGCATATCTTTAACTTTTGTTTGCCAGTTGCATATTTTGCCACATTTTCTTAATCTCTCTATATATTTACACATTTGTTTTTGGCTAAATGATTGGAAAGTATTAATAGTTGGGAACATCATGACACTTAATACTTAAGCATGCATAAGGACATTGTTCTAATACAACTACCATAGCATTATTATACCTAAGAAAGTTAACATTAATCTAGCAATATATTGTCCCTGTTCAGATTTTCTCATTTGCCTCAAAAATATATTTAAAGTTGTTTCCCCCACCCCCGTCCAAGATCCAGTCAGACTTTACACATTGCATTTGATTGATATGTCCCAGTGGAATTTGCTTTAAATAAGTTTGTAGTGCTGTTTTTTATAGGGCTGTAGTAATGTTGAAGAAAGTGAACACATAGAAACTAAATACAGTTAGTGTTTTTGTGTATGTCAGGAATACCAGTAGTGCTCTTTTATAAATCTATTTTATTTCACATCTTTCTCATTTGTTAGACACGCTCTTTACTCAGGGAATATAGCACATCTGTAGCTACGAGAGGTGTGATACATTCCAACAAAGCCCGAGGATATGCTCATTGCCAAGGAGGAGGATCAAGTTTTCGACCCTTGCACAAACCCCAGTGGTTTCTAATAAGTAAAAAGGTAAAAAAAAAAAAAAAAAAAAGAATTGTATATTTTTAATATGTGAACTTTACCGTACATGAATTATAATTCAAAGCTGTTATTTTCTTTAAAACATAACAAAGGAAAAAATGTTTTTTTTTTTTTTTGTTTTTTGTTTTTTGAGATGGAGTTTCGCTCTCGTTACCCAGGCTGGAGTGCAATGGCGCGATCTCGGCTCACCGCAACCTCTGCCTCCTGGGCTCAGGCAATTCTCCTGCCTCAGCCTACTAAGTAGCTGGGATTACAGGCACGCGCCACCATGCCCAGCTAGTTTTTTGTATTTTTAGTAGAGACGGGGTTTCACTATGTTGACCAAGATGGTTTCGATCTCTCGACCTCGTGATCCACCCGCCTTGGCCTCCCAAAGTGCTGGGATTACAGGCTTGAGCCACCGAGCCCGGCCAAAAATGTTTCATTTTTAACAAAATAGTTGCCAAGGTCCACAATTAGATTCTGAGTTTTTATAAAACGTAGAAAGGTAACTCTTAAATAAACACTTGTACAATTTTTTAGAGGGAAAAAGATGATCAAAATTTGAATATAATACATGTTTTATTTATTAGTTTTATTGGAATCAAAGCATAGTTATAATTTATTTTTTATTTGTTTTTTTAAATTGAGACAGAGTAGCTCTGTCACCCAGGCTGAAAAGTGTAGTAGCTCACTGCAACCTCTGCTTCCTAGGTTCAAGCAATTCTCCCACCTCAGCCTCCCAAGTAGCTGGGATTACAGGTGCGTGCCTCCATACGCAGCTCATTTTTTAATGTTTAGTAGAGACAGGCACAGGGTTTCACCATGTTGGCCAGGCTGGTCTTGAACTGCTGACCTCAAGTGATCCGCCCACCTCAGCCTCCCAAAGTACTGGGATTACAGGTGTCAGCCACTGCACCCAGCTGCATATTTATATTTTAGTTTCAATTAAACATAACTTTAGGGCCAGGCATGGTGGCTCACACCTGTAATCCCCGCAATTTGGAAGGCCGAGACAAGAGGAGCCCAAGTTTGAGACCAGCCTGGACAACATAGTGAGATCCCGTATCTACAAGAAAAAGAAAAAGAAAATTAGAAATAAACAAACACTAGTTCAACCTGAAAATGTTGATTGGAAAACAGAAATCCCTAGTATATAAAATTTCAGTTGGACAGCAGGAATAAGTTTTAAGTTCAAGAGATATTTTATATAACATGGTGACTATGAATAACGACATGTCGGCCAGGCTCAGTGCTCAGGTCTGCAATCCCAGCAGTTTGGGAGGTTGAGGCAGGTAGATCATAAGACCAGGAGTTCAAGACCAGTCTGGCCAAGACGGTGAAACCCTGTCTCTACTAAAGTACAAAAAATTAGCTGGACATGGTGGTGGGTGCCTGTAATACCAGCTACTTGGAAGGCTGAGGCAGGAGAATTGCTTGAACCCAGGAGGTGGAGGTTGCAGTGAGCCGAGATTGTGCCGCTGCACACTAGCCTGGGTGGCAGAACAAGACTCCATCTTAAAATAAATAAAAACACTGTGTCATATATTTGAAAATCACTAAAACAGTAGATTTTAAGTGTTCTCACCACACACAAAAAATGTATGTATGTAAGGAAGGTAATGCATGTGTTAATTGGCTCCATTTAGCCATTCTACCATGTATACATATTTCAGAGCATTATATTGTATACTGTAAGAACATACAGAGCTTATTTGTCAATTTAAGTTAATCAAAGAAAGGAGAAGAAATCTTGGCCCTGCCTGTCTGGAAAAGTTACTCACCTCCTGTGCTCTTACTCTCCACAGCTAAAAATGTAGATGATTGAATTATTTAGAGGTAAAATATGGGTGGCCCACAAGTTGAAAACAAAATACACAACAGAGTTTTCAAAATGAATTGTCAGTCTTTAAAAATTAGAATGATTTAATTTTTAAAAATTTTATTTATTTATTTATTTATTTATTTTTTGAGGCGGAGTTTTGCTCTTGTTACCCAGGCTGGAGTGCAATGGCGCGATCTCGGCTCACTGCAACCTCCGCCTCCTGGGTTCAAGCAATTCTCCTGCCTCAGCCTCCCGAGTAGCTGGGACTACAGGCATGTGCCACCATGTCCAGCTAATTTTTTGTATTTTTAGTAGAGACGGGGTTTCACCTTGTTGACCAGGATGGTCTCTATCTCTTGACCTCGTGATCCACCCGCCTCGGCCTCCCAAAGTGCTGGGATTATAGGCGTGAGCCACCGCGCCCGGCCTTAGAATGATTTTAAATGATTAAAAATCAGATATGAATTTCTAGCTTCAGAATTTCTAGAATCTCTGGGGGGAAAAAAGACCAGAAACAGTGGCTCACACCTCTAATCCGAGCAGTGGAAAGCTGAGATGGAAGGATCACGTGAACCCAGGAGTTTGAGACCAGCCTGGGCAACATGGTGAAACCCCATCTCTATAAAAAGCATTTTAAAAATTATCTGGATGTGGTGGCACACACCAGGAGTTTGAGACCAGCCTGGGCAGCGTAATGAGATCCCAAATCTACAAGAAAAAGAAAAAAAAATTGTTTTTGTTTTTTCCATCTAGTCCCAGCTACTTGGGAGGCTGACATGGGGGGATTGCTTAAGCCTGGGAGACAGAGGTTGCAGTGAACAATGATTTTGCCACTGCACTCCAGCCTGGGCAACAGAGTGAACCGCTTGGAATGCAGTGGCGCGATCTCAGCTCACTGCAACCTCTACCTCCCAGGTTCAAGCGATTCTCCTGCTTCAGCCTCCCAAGTAGCTGAGATTACAAGCGTGTGCCACCATGCCTGGCTAATTTTTGTATTTTTAGTAGAGATAGGGTTTCACCATGTTGGCTAGGCTGGTCTAGGACTCCTAATCTCCAGTGATCTGCCCGTCTGTGACTGAATCTTTAAAAAATAAAAGGAAAGTGAAGCAACACTGGCTCATATTTCTGCATAGCAGCAATCACCTCACCATGTAGTATCTGCCCCTTTCATATGAGAGTAGTAGGCACCACTGTCCCCAGCTGGTTCATTCACTTATATTGCCTGCTTGACTTCTATAATATCTGCATTCATGACCCCTGGACTGGGTCATCTCTGAGATGTCTTCCAGTTCTAAAATCATACAGCTGAAAATCACCCTATAGTGTATTACCTTAGACATTTTTTCCAACAGATTTATTGGAAAATTTAATGACTTTTAAGCAGTTTGTATCTCACTGACTTGCTTTGTCTTTTATAGCACATATATTAATTTTACATTGTAGCTATATATGAGTTATCTAAGACTGTTAGCTTCTTGAAGGCAGGGATTGTGCTTCTCTCTTCCTCAGCCCAACATTGTGTAGACTAAAGAAAATAAATTATTTCATTGAAAAATAGTATTTTATGTAATTTGTGATGTGTGTGTGCCCATAAACAGAATTCCTTTGATTTTTAAATTTGTTTTTCTTATACATTCAATGTCTTTTAAAAATCCTTGTTCTATCAAATGTGAAATAGTTGTGTAGGTGAAATACTTTACTAAACAATGCTAGGAAGACTGTAAAGGACTACTTAGATAAGCTCTTAAAAGTATATTTGTGATCTATAAACCCATAACTTAATAAAAACATTATTATGTAAGTTTATGTAATAAACTTAGTTTGTCTAGAAATACATATTTTTAATTTCGTTTTTCCTTTATCTTTTTTTTCCTTTTCCATACAGTATCGGGAAAATTGCCTGGCAGCAAAAGCACTTTTTCCTGACTTCTGCCTACCAGCTTTATGCCTGCAAACTCAGCTGTTGCCATACCTTGCTCTACTAACCATTCCAATGAGAAATCAAGGTAATAACATAGGTTTTTCTTTTCTTTTAAGAAATAGGGTTTTATAGCAGTATCTTTTTGTGGACCAACTTACTGTTATATACAGTGAGATATGTTGTTTTTTTCTTGATCCAGATACTTATAAATCCTTCATGTTTTGTTTTGTTTTTTTTAAGCATCAAACAGGCCCGGCACAGTGGCTCATGCCTATAATCCCAGCACTTTAGGAGGCCGAGACAGGCAGATCACTGGAGGTTAGGAGTTCTAGACCAGCCTAGCCAACATGGTGAAACCCTATCCCTACTAAAAATACAAAAATTAGCCAGGCATGGTGGCAAACACTTGTAATCCGAGCTACTTGGGAGGCTGAGGCAGGAGAATCACTTGAACCTGGGAGGTAGAGGTTGCAGTGAGCTGAAATTGCGCCACTGCATTCCAGGCTGGGTGACAAAGTGAGATCTGTTTTAAAAAAAAAAAAAATCATCAAACCATATAGAAGTATATAAAGTAAAAATTGAAAGTACTTCCCCTACAACCACAGGTTGTTTTGACAGATTGATATAAATTCTTCCAGATATTCTTCTGTGAATGTAGAAACATGCAGAATGAGACAAACTTTAATTTGCTTATGTCACTTACCGTGGATAGCCTTTCATCTTTTATGAGTTAATGTCAAGGCAGCAATGCTAAAGTATATTGAAATCTAACTCATTTTTTTCAGAATGTATAATACTTTTATTTAACCTTATGGATATTTTGATTTCAGTATTACAAAAATGCCTATTAATAGTACATTTTCATGTTATGAAATTATAATGCTACAAACATTACTATGCCTGTGGTAGTATACACCTGCACACATTTAGAAAATATTGTGCATTCTTAGGCAAAAATGGGATAACTTTTGGGCAGTAGTCATGATTAATCTGTTGATCAGAATCCGGAGATTTCCCCTCTTCTTGCCAGTTGTTTTAAGATTACACTAGTTTTTAAACTTTTTTTTCTTTTTGCCCAGGCTGGAGTGCAGTGGCATGATTTCGGCTCACTGCAACCTCTACTACCCAGGTTCAAGCCATTTTTCTGTCTCAGCCTCTGAAGTAGCTGGGATTACAGGCATGCACCACCATACCTGGCTAATTATTTTTGTGGGGTTTTTTTTGTTTTTTTTTTTTTTAGACGGAGATTCGCTCTTGTTAACCCAGGCTGGAGTGCAATGGCGCAATCTCAGCTCACCACAACCTCCGCCTCCTGGGTTCAGACAATTCTCCTGCCTCAGCCTCCTGAGTAGCTCGGATTACAGGCATGTGCCACCATGCCCAGCTAATTTTTTGTATTTTTAGGAGAGACGGGGTTTCACCATGTTGACCAGGATGGTCTCGATCTCTTGACCTCGTGATCCAACCGCCTCGGCCTCTCAAAGTGCTGGGATTACAGGCTTGAGCCACCACGCCCGGCCTGTTTTTGTATTTTTAGTAGAGGGGTTTCACCATGTTGGCCAGGCTGGTCTTGAACTCCTGGCTTCAAGTGATCCACCCACCTCAGACACCCAAAGTGCTGGAATTACAGGTGTGAGCCACCGTGCCCAGCCACTAGTTTTTAAACTTTATTTTGAAATTATTTTAAATGTAAAGATGCAAGAATAGTACAAAAGAATTCTTGTATATCCTTCATTAAGTTTCCTCATTGTTACATTTTTACCATATTTGCCTAATTATATTCTCTGTCAATATAAGCATGCACATATATGTATTTTGCTGAACCAGTTTTGAGTAAATTGCAGACATGATTTCTCATTATTCTTAAAAACTTAAGTCTGCACTTACTAAAAACAAGAACACTGGGCCGAGCGTAGTGGCTCACGCCTGTAATCCCAGCACTTTGGGAGGCTGAGGCGGGAGAATTGCCTGAACCCAGGAGGCAGAGGTTGCGGTGAGCCAAGATCGCGCCATTGCACTCCAGCCTGGGTAACAAGAGTGAAACTCTGTCTCAAAAAAAAAAAAAAAAAAAAAAAGAACATGTTCCTGCATAACCACAGTATACACGTCAAGTCAAGAAATTAACACTAATACTATTTATTTTATAGTCCCCAAAGTTTGCCATTTGTCCTAATATCCTTTTATTTAAAAAATAAAAAAAAAAAAACTAATAGAGACAGTATCACTATGTTGGCCAGGTTGGTCTTGAACTCCTGGCCTCAAGCAGTCTTCTCGCCTCAGCCTCCCAAAGTGCTAGGATTATAGGCATGGGCTACCACACCCAGCCCTAATAATATCCTTTGTAAAAATGACAACTTGCTCCCCATTTCTTTTCCAGAATCCAATGAAAGATAACCTGATGCATTTAGTGATACAGTTTCCATGTCTTTTTCATCTCCCTTGACCTGGAACAGTTTTTTAGTCTTTCTTTGTCTATGACATTTTAGAGGCATATAGGACAGTTACTATGTATATTATCCTTCAATTTGAGTTTGGTGATTCCTCATTATTGAATTCAGGATATGTTTTTTTTGTTTTGTTTTGTTTTGTTTTGTTTTTGCAGAAATACCACAGAAGTAATCTTAAAAAGAACTGGCAAGAAAGGGAAAGATATCTGGATTCTTACCAACAGATAATTATGACCACTGCATATAGGTTATCTTATTTTTGCCTATGAGTGCCCAACATTTTAAACACTTTTTAAGTATCAATACTCATAAAAGCTATAAGATAAAACTCTTCATTGTATTAAAGTATATATTTACTCTTTAATCCTTTCTTCTGATAATTGGTAAGGTCAACTCTGTCTTTAAAATTTTGGGGCTGAGTGCAGTGACTCATGCCTATAATCCCAGCACTTTGAAAGGCTGAAGCAGGCAGATCACCTGAGGTCGGGAGTTCAAGACCAGCATGACCAACATAGAGAAACACTGTCTCTAGTAAAAGTACAAAATTAGCCAGGCATGATGGCGCATGCCTGTAATCCCAGCTACTCAGAGATTGAGGCAGGAGAATCGCTTGAACCCGGGAGGCAATGAGCTGAGATCATGCCATTGCACTCCAGCCTAGGCAACAATAGTGAAATTCTCAGGTTAAAAAAAAAAATTCTGGGCCGGGCGTTATGGCTGAAGCCTGTAATCCCAGCACTTTGGGAGGCCGAGGTGGGTGGATCACGAGGTCAAGAGATCGAGACCATCCTGGCCAACATGGTGAAACCCCGTCTCTACTAAAAATGCAAAAAATTAGCTGGGCATGGTGGCACGTGCCTGTAATCCCAGCTACTCAGGAGGATGAGGCTGGAGAATTGCCTGAACCCAGGAGGCAGAGGTTGTGGTGAGCCGAGATCGCGCCATTGCACTCCAGCCTGGGTAACAAGAGCGAAACTCCATCTCCAAAAAAAAAAAAAAAAAAAATTCTGGGCCAGACGTGGCAGCTCATGCCTATAATCCCAGCACTTTGGGCAGCCAAGGTGGGGAGATTGCCTGAGCCCAGGAGCTCGAGACCAGCCTAGGCAACACAGTGATACCTTGTCTCTACAAAAATATTTAAAAATTAGCTGGGTGTGGTGGCTTGCACCTGTAATCCCGGGTACTCAGGAGGCTGAGGCATGAGAATCACTTGAACCCAGGAAGTGGAGATTGCAGTGAGCAGAGATTATATCATTGCACTACAGCCTGGGCAACAAGAGTGAAACTCCATCTTTAAAAAAAAAAAAGATAAAATTAGCTGGGTGTAGTGGCTCACACCTGTAGTCCCAGCTACTCAGGAGGCTGAGGTGGGAGAATTGCTTGAACTTGGGAAGGGAAGGTTGCAGTGAGCCGAGATCACACCACTGTATTCCAGCCTGGGCGACAGAGTGAGATGCCGTCTCAAAAGGCAAAGGACCAGTTAGACATTTCTTAAAAGAAGACATACAGATGGCCAATGTATATGAAAGACATACAGATGGCCAAGGTATATGAAAAACTGCTTAACATTAAGGCTTAACACTAATGATCAGGGAATTGCACATTAAAACCACAATGAGCTACCACATTACACCAGTTAGAATGACCATTATCAAAAAGACAAATGATAATAAGTGTTGACCAGGATGGGGAAAAAAGGAATCCTCACAAAGTTAGTAAGAATGTAAATTAGTACAGCTGTTTTGAGGAACAGTATGGCGGTTCCTTTAAAAACTAAAAATAGCTGAGGCAGGAGAATTGCTTGAACCCAGGAGGTGGAGGTTGCGGTGAGCCGAGATCGTGCCATTGCACTCCAGCCTGGGTAACAAGAGCGAAACTCCGTCTCAAAAAAAAAAAAAACTAAACTAAAAATAGAACTACCATATGATCCAGCATTCCCACTACTGGATATATATCTAAAGAATATGAGGTCAAGGCCAGGCATGGTGGCTCATGCCTGTAATCCCAGCTCTTTGGGAGGCTGAGGCAGGTGGATCACTTGAGGTCAAGAGTTCAAGATTAGCCTGGTAAACATGGTGAAACCCCCTCTCTACCAAAAATATAAAAAATTAGCCAAGTGTGGTGGTGCAGTTTACTCCTGTAATCCCAGATACTCAGGAGGTTGAGGCAGGAGAATTGCTTGAAACTGGGAGGTGGAGGTTACAGTGAGCTGAGATCGTGCCACTGCACTCCAGAGTGAGACTCCATCTCAAACATACATATATATATGAAGTCAATATGTTGAAGAGATATCTTCCCTCCCTCCCATGTTTTATTGCCACATTATCTGCAATAACTAAGATATGGAATCAGTATAATTGTCCATTGGATGAAGAAAATATTGGAGGCTGGGAGTGATGGCTCAAGCCTGTAATCCCAGCACTTTGAGAGGCCGAGGTGGGTGGATCACGAGGTCAAGAGATCGAGACCATCCTGGTCAACATGGTGAAACCCCGTCTCTACTAAAAATACAAAAAATTAGCTGGGCATGGTGGCGCGTGCCTGTAATCCCAGCTACTCAGGAGGCTAAGGCAGGAGAATTGCCTGAACCCAGGAGGCAGAGGTTGCGGTGAGCCGAGATCGCGCCATTGCACTCCAGCCTGGGTAACAAGAGCAAAACACCGTCTCAAAAAAAAAAAAAAAAGAAAAGAAAATATTGGTGTATATACACAATGGAATACTATTGAGCCATATAAAAGAACAAAATCTTTTCCTTTGCAACAACATGGGTGAACCTGGAAGACCTTATTTAAAATGAAATAAATAAAATAAAATAAGCCAGGCACAGAAAGACACATATTTCATGTTCTCACTCATATAGAAGCTAAAAAAGTTCATCTCAGCCAGGCAAGGTGGCTCACACCTGTAATCCCAGCACTTTGGTAGGCTGAGGTGGGTGGATCACCTAAGGTTGGGAGTTCAAGACCAAACTGACCAACATAGAGAAACCCCATCTCTACTAAAAATACAAAAAATTAGCCGGGCGTGGTGGCACATTCCTGTAATCCCAGCTACTCTGGAGACTGAGGCAGGAGAATCATTTGAATCAAGGAGGTGGAAGTTGCTGTGAGCCGAGATCACGCCATTGCACTCCAGCCTGGGCAACAACAGTGAAACTCCGTCTCAAAAAAAAAAAAAAGTTTGATCTCGTAGTAGAGCATAGAATGGGATTACCATGGGCTTATGTGGTAGGAAAGATGTTGGTCAAAGAATACAAAATTTTGTTACGTAGGAGGAATAAGTTCAAGAGTTCTGCTTTACAACATGATGCCTATAGTTAATAGTGTATATTTTGTTGTTGTAGTTTTGTTTTTTTTTGAGACAGGGTATCACTCTTGTCACACAGGCTGAATTGTGGTGGTGCGATCACAGCTCACTGCAGCCTAAATATCCTTGGCTCAAGTGATCCCCCAGCTTAGCTTCCTGAGTAGCTGGTAACCACAGGTGTGCACCACCACACTCAGCTAATTTTTGTATTTTTTTTGTGAAGTTGGGGTTTTGCCATGTTGCATAGGCTGGTCTTGAACCCCTGGGCTCAAGCGATCCTCCCCACTCAGCCTCCCAAAGTGTTGGGACTACAGGCGTGAGCCACCACACCTAACCAATATATTGTATTCTTTTTTTTAAAATGAAAAACTTTTGAGAATATTCCAAGTAACATATACTGTATTCTTGAAAAATGCTAAGAGAGTAAATGTTAAGTGTCTTCCCCACAGAAATAACTCTGTGAGGTAATACATGTGTTAATTAGCTACAGTTAGTCACTCTACAATGTATATATTTTTAAAAATGTTGCCCACAATAAATATATACAATTTTGTTAATTAAAATAATTTTGATTGTATTGTATAATAGATTTTTTTTTTTTTTTTTTTTTTTTTTGAGATGGAGTCTTGCTCTGTCTCCCAGGCTGGAGTGCAGTGGTGCTATCTCAGCTCACTGCAGCCTCCACCTCCCAGGTTCAAGCAATTCTCCTACCTCAGCCTCCTGAGTAGCTAGAATTAGAGGCACACACCACCACACCCAAATAATTTTTGTATTTTTAGTAAGATGGCTTTTACTATGTTGGCCAGGCTGGTCTCCAACTCCTGACCTCAGGTGATCCGCCTACTTTGGCCTGTGTAGTAGATTTTTCAAAAGGTAAGTATCCAAGAGTCCTCATAGTGTTAGGCTTATGAATTTTAAAAGGTTTATAAAAATTAGTAAAAGTAAGATGTTTTGGTTTTTCTTATTTATTCTATTTTCTCTCTATATTTTGATTACATAATCTCTGTCAATCTATGTCCAAGGTGTTTTGTTTGTTTGTTTGTTTGTTTGTTTTGTTTTTGAGACAGAGTCTTGCTCTGTTGCCTAGGCTGGAGTGCAGTGGCACAATGTCCACTTCCCAGGTTCAAGCAATTCTCTTGCATCAGCTTTTTGAGTAGCTGGGATTATAAGCACATGCCACCACGCCTGGCTACTTTTTGTATTTTTAGTAGAGATGGAGTTTCGCCACGTTGGCCAGCCTGGTGTCGAACTTGTGACCTCAGATAATCCACCTGCCTCAGCCTCCCAAAGTGCTGGGATTATAGGTGTGAGCCACCGTGCCTGGCCTGTGTCCAAGTTTGATAATACTTCTGCTTAAAATCTAGTGTTGAGCCCCTTGAGTGAATTTTTCATTTTAGTTGTATTTTTTGACAAAATTTTCATTTGGTTCTTTTTATAATTGTCTTTTTATTGATGTTCTTTTTCATGAGACATTGTCATTATGGCTTTCTTTACTACTTTAAGCATGATTTCCTTTTCTACTTTGAAAATATTTATAATGGCTTATCTGAAGTCTTTTTCTAATTTAATGTCTGAGCCCTCTCAAAGGCAATTTCTTTTGCCCACCTTTTTCTTATGGGTGCGTCACACTTTCCTGTTTCTTTACATGTCGTAATTTTTTGTTGAAAATGAGATATTTTAGGGACTGTATTGTAGCAATTTTGGAGAATGTTTATCCTCCTCCTCTGGGCTTGTTTTTATTGTTGTGTGCTTGTTTGTTTAGTGACTTGGCTAAATTCATGTAATGAAGTCTGTCTTTTGCAATATGAAGCTTTTCTTCCTCTTCAGAGAGCTCAGCCTTGGCTGTGCCCACAGTTAACTTGGGATGATGGTGGTTTTAGCAGAGCTCACTTTGTCTCTTTCCCTGATATCTCTGTATAGCTCTCTGCTTCCTTTGGTATCACACTGTTGGCCCCCCTATTAGTTTATGGAAAGGGTCTCACTCTTTCACTCAGACGAGTGCAGTGGCACGATGGCTCACTGCAACCTCCGCCCCCTGGGCTCAAGAAGTTCTTATGCCTCAGCCTCCTGAGTTGCTGGGACGACAGGTGTGTGCCACTGTGCCCAGCTAATTTTTATGTTTTTAGTAGAGATGGTGTTTCACCATGTTAGCGAAGCTGATTCTGAACTCCTGACCTCAAGTGATCCACCCACCTTGGCCTCCCAAAGTGTTGGTATTACAGGGGTGAGCCACTGTGCCTGGCTACTCCCTAGCTACTATCTAATTGCTCTGTTTTCAGCAGTGCTTTAGGACAAAAATTTCTCCACAGTCTGATCCAATTTAATTTGGGCAGGTATAGACTTTCAAGCCAGTCTCTGAGGGTTGTTCTGAAACCAGAAGGGCTGTTTTTAGTTGTCTCTTTCACTGGTTCTTTCTTATGAAGCAGTTGGCTTATGTTTAGCTTGTTCTTAATTGAGAGAAGTTGGTTTCAGGGGTGCCCTTTAGGCTTGAACTTCCCCACACTATGTTTCAAATAAAGTCAGTTCCTTTGGGGAAAGCTTCAGGACTCTCTTTTCCTAGGGACTGCCTCTCCTCTGGGCAAAATCTCTAATTCACTATTCTGGGTGAGTGCCCAGCTGCAGAGGTAGCCTCTGATTATTTTCTCTTGCCTCTCCCAATAATGACCCTCTGCTATGTAACAAGCTGGGGTAAGGGAGACTGCAGTTGGGATGGGGGCAGTGCCTTAGGGTTACCCAGGCTGGAGTGCAATGGCGCGATCTCGGCTCACCGCAACCTCCGCCTCCTGGGCTCAGGCAATTCTCCTGCCTCAGCCTCCTGAGTAGCTGAGATTACAGGCACGTGCCACCACGCCCAGCTAATTTTTTGTATTTTTATTAGAGACGGGGTTTCACCATGTTGACCAGGATGGTCTCGATCTCTTGACCTCGTGATCCACCCGCCTCAGCCTCCCAAAGTGCTGGGATTACAGGCTTGAGCCACCGCGCCCGGTTGGGTTAGAACCTCTTATCTTATGAGTAGGGCTGGATGGAGAAAGGAAGCCTCAGACACCCTGCTGCACCCAAGTAGGAAGGAATCCTTAGTTCTTGGCTGCACCCACCTGGAATGAAATTTTCATCAAGCCGAGCCCTCTCAGTTCAGGGTTGGGAATGCAAGGGAGGAAATAGTGGCACAAATCCCTGAGATTCTCTCTGTTTGATTTTCTTGAATAAATATTTCCTCATTTCCCAGAGACTTTAAATGATTGATTTTGAAAAGTTTTCACTGATTTTCCTTATCTCTGGGAGTGGGTACACAAAAGCTTATGCTGTCATCCTGGAAGTCTACTATGTCATTCTTTTTCTTTTTGAATTTTTAATAATGGTAAAATATACAGAACATAAAGTTTATCATCTTAACCATTTTCAATTCTACAGTGCAGTAGTCTTTAAGTATATACACCTTGTTCTGCAACCAGTTTCCAAAACTTTTGCTTCCTGTAAAACTGAAATTCTATAACTCTTAGCATTAACTCCCCACTTTCCCTTCCCCCGGCAGCCACCATTCTACTTTCTTTCTCTATGAATTTATGACTCTAGATATTTTATGTAAGTGGAATCATACAATATTTGTTGTTTTGTGACTGGTTTATTTCACTTAGAATGATGTCATCGAAGTTCATTTGTGTGGCAGCATGTGTCAGAATTACCTTCCTTTTTAAAGCTGAGTAGTATTCCATTAGTTGTATATGCCACATTTGGTTATCCATTTATTGATGGACACTTGGGTTCCTTCTACCCTTTGATTATTAATACTGATATGAACATGGCATACAAATACCTTTTTGAGACTCTGCTTTTAATTCTTTTGGGTATATACACAGAAGTGGATTTGTTAAATCATATAATAATTCTATTTTTAATTTTTTGAGGGCCCACTCTATTGTTTTCCACAGCAGTTACACCATTTTACATTCTCATGAGTAATGTACAAGGGTTCCAGTTTCTCCACATCCTTACCCACACTTTTTGTTTTCTGGTTGTTGGTAACAGTCCTCCTAATAGATGTGAATCGGTTTCACACTATGGCTTGGATTTGCGTTTCTCTAAAAATTAGTGATGTTCAGCATCTGTTCATGTACTTATTGGTCATTTGTATATTTTCTTTGGGAAATTGTTTACAACTTTTAAAAAATATGTTTCAGCTCAGATTTCTTTTATCCAAGATATTGGAAGGCTCCCTCTAAAGCGACACTTTGGAAGGTAAGCTGATCATCTCAATTTTTAAAAAGCTAATAGTGAAATGTCTACTGAATATGTTCAATATGAATCAATAAGTGTTATCTGAAACGTCCAAGAAAGAAATACTGTACCGTACCTAGTAATTTATAAACATAATCATATTGTAGACACTTCCTTTTCTTAAGCAGCATATTATATTTAAGAAAAGGAAGGGTCTACAATACAATACAATTGCAGACCCTTCCTAGAGCACCTATTCCCAATGGACTATACCAGACTAAATGGAATCATGCAATCACAAAGGCAGAGAAATCTTTAAAATCCTCCAGTTCAGCAAGTCTAGAAACCCCTTTCCAGCTTTCCTGTCGAGAGATGTTCTTAGCCTGTGCTTGAAGACCTGCAGTGACTAGGAACTGCCTTAGAAAGTAGCAGTATCTTCTATAATTTCTTATTTTAGAAAATTTAGATGCCGGGCGCGGTGGCTCAAGCCTGTAATCCCGGCACTTTGGGAGGCCGACGCGGGTGGATCACGAGGTCAAGAGATCGAGACCATCCTGGTCAACACAGTGAAACCCTGTCTCTACTAAAAATGCAAAAATTAGCTGGGCATGGTGGTGCACGCCTGTAGTCCCAGCTACTCGGGAGGCTGAGGCAGGAGAATTGCTTGAACCCAGGAGATGGATGTTGCGGTGAGCCGAGATCGCGCCATTGCACTCCAGCCTGGGTAACAAGAGCGAAACTCTGTCTCAAAAAAAAAAAAAAAAAAAGAAAGGAAATGTAGAACATCAAAATAAAGAGATGTCTATATATATGCTGTTCATTTTATTGAAAATAGCATCTATGCCATTATCAGTGATTAATACAAAACCTATATTTCAGTTTGACTTCACTTATTTGTAAAATCGAATTAAGCACTCCGGAATTATTTAAAGATTTAAAAATTCTGTCTGGGCACGGTCACATCTGTAATTCCAGCACATTGGGAGGCCTAGGTGGGTGGATCACCTGAGGTCAGGAGTTTGAGACCAGCCTGACCAACATGGTGAAACCTGTCTCTACTAAAAATACAAAAAATTAGCTCGGCACGGTGGCACATGCCTGTAATCCCAGCCATTCAGGAGGCTGAGTCAGGAGAATCGCTCAAACCCAGGAGGTGGAGGTTGCAGTGTGCCAAGATCTCACTGTTGTACTCCAATATGGGCAAAAAGATCGAAACTCCATCTTAAAAAAAAAGACTTAAAAAATCTTGCTTACTGGATGCATGGACAAAAGTGACAGAAATGGCACCTCTGACTCCTCCTGTCTTGTCTTTTATTTCTAGTCCCAAATGGAAAACTCCTGTGGTATGAGCTTTTCCCCCCTACCCTCAAAGATTCATTAAGGCCTTTGTAGTGTTAATGGTTTTTTCTGGATACTGGCTTATCTATGCAGAGCGCATCTTTCCTATCACAGAAAGACCATGATGGCTTGGCTCTTGAAGCATCATCCCACTGGGATGTGATCAGGGCTTACACATTTTATAAACATTGCTTTTCTTCCCACATCCCTCTGAATGAAAGCAGGACCAGGTCTCTCAATGGCTCCTTTCCTCCACCCTCCCAAGATTATGGCATCAAAATAAAGACAAGTATCTTCTATTGTCTTTTTTCTCCTGAGATGTATTGGGTTGCACCAACCTAAATTGAATGAGAGTCTTCACTGTTTTACTATTGGTTCAACTATTTATTTGATGTGGCTTGAGAGGCAGTATTTTCAGTGCTATATATTACAATGACTGGTACTATTACTTTTACTTATGTTGACCATATTTAAAATGACCATATATTTAGTACTATTCAGTATTGAATACTAATACTTAATATTTAATAGATGTTTAATTTCCTGTGATTCAACTTATATATTATTTTTGCCCATTTAGCTTCTTTTGAGCTTTTACTATCAGTCTTATAGATAAATCATCATGTACATCAAATACTATTTACTTAGGATGAATTCCTAGAAATGAAATTGCTGGATCAATAGGTATATTACCTTTTGAGGCTTTTCCTCTCTATTGCCAAATTGTTTGCAAGAATATTTTGCCAATTTTATATCCACTTACAGTGTATCAGTATGTTCTTTTCTGCTAACCCTTGCCACCACTGGGTTCTAAAAGTATCTTTGACATTTTAGAAGATGATAGTAGTAGGCCAGGAGGTCAGGAGGATATCAGCCTGACCAACATGGTTAAACCCATCTCTACTAAAAATACAAAAATTAGCTGGATGTGTTGGTTCATGCCTGTAATCCCAGCTACTCTGGAGGCTGAGGCAGGAAAACACTTGAACCTGGGAAATGGAGGTTGCAGTGAGCCAAGATCATGCCACCGCCCTGTAGCCTTGGCAACAGAGTAAGATTCTGTCTCAAAAAAAAAAAAAAAAAAAAAAATGACAGTAGTAGCTCATTGTGTTAATTTTCATTTTTAAAATTACAAATCAGATTGAAAAATTTATTTAGTATCCATTTGTACCATTTGTAGTTCTTTTTTTTTTTTTTTTTTTTGAGACGGAGTTTTGCTCTTGTTACCCAGGCTGGAGTGCAATGGCACGAAAGTTGTCCATGTTTTTGCCCACTTTTCTATATTTCATTTTTTCTTTTTAATTTGTAAAAAAAATTTTTTTAAAGATGAGGTTTTACCATGTTGGTCAGTCTGGTCTTGAACTTCCGACCTCAAGTGATCCGCCTACCTTGGCCTCCAAAGTGCTGAGATTACAGGCGTGAGCCACCGCGCCCGGCCAAAGGCTGGGCGCGGTGGCTCACACTTGGAATTGCAGCACTTTGGGAGGCCAAGGCAGGCAGATTGGCCTCCCAAAGTGCTGGGATTACAAGTGTAAACCTGACATCAGGAGTTTGAGATTGCCCTGGCCAATGTGGTGAAACTCCATCTCTACTAAAAATACAAAAATTAGCCAGGCAAGGTGGCATGCGCCTGTAATACCAGCTACTCAGGAGACTGAGGCAGGAGAATCGTTTGAACCTAGGAGACAGAGGTTGCAGTGAACTGAGTTCGCACCATTGCACTCCAGCCTGGGTTATAGAGAGATGGTCTCAGTTTTTTAAAAAAATCTTTACTGAAGACATTATTCCTTTTTACTTTTAGGTGGTGGTAGTTTTCTTGTTGTTGTTGTTGTTTGTTTGGTTTTCGGTGAGAAACAGAGTCTCACTCTGTCACCCAGGCTGGAGTCCAGTGGCACCATCTTGGCTCACTGCAACCTCCACCTCCTGGGTTCAAATAATTCTCCTGCCTCAGCCTCCTGAGTAGCTGGGATTACAGTCATGTGCCATCACACCCGACTAATTTTTTTTTTTTTTTTTTTTTTTTGAGACGGAGTTTCGCTCTTGTTACCCAGGCTGGAGTGCAATGGCGCGATCTCGGCTCACTGCAACCTCCGCCTCCTGGGTTCCGGCAATTCTCCTGCCTCAGACTCCCGAGTAGCTGGGATTACAGGCACGTGCCACCATGCCCAGCTAATTTTTTGTATTTTTTAGTAGAGACAGGGTTTCACCATGTTGACCAGGATGGTCTCGATCTCTTGCCCTCGTGATCCGCCCGCCTCGGCCTCCCAAAGTGCTGGGATTACAGGCTTGAGCCACCGCGCCCGGCCCATGCCCGACTAATTTTTGTATTTTTAGTAGAGATCAGGTTTCACCATGGTGACCAGGCTGGTCTGGAACTCCTGACCTCAAGTGATCTGCTCACCTTAGCATTCCAAAGTGCTGAGAGTACAGGTATGAGCCACCACGTTCAACCCATTTTTGTATTTTAAGTTGTAGGAACTTATTCACAGTTTGTCGTTTACTTTGTAGTTTTGTTTGTATAGTTAAAGGGACTGGCTAAACAGCACAATGAAAGAAAATGAAAGATGGCTTCATAATCATCACACTCGTGGTGTAATTTAAGGAATATCCTCCTTTGGTTCTTATTAATGCCTACATTGTGAATCTGACAGATTGAAAATGGAAGCCCTGAGTGACAGGGAACATGAAATGATAGACCCTGACAGCGGAGATGAAGCTCAGCTTCATGGAGGACATTCTGCAGAGGAACCTCTGGGTGAACCCACTCAAGCCACTGAGCCAGAAACCTGGGTTCTTCCTTTGAGTCAGAATAGTGCTTCGAGTGAACTGCCTACCAGCCAGCCTCAGCCCTTTTCAGCCCAAGGAGACGTGGAAGAAAACATAATAATAGAAGACTATGAGAGTGATGGGACATAGAAGCCAGCCTGCAAATCAGATTGCTACTTCACAGATTAATTTTTGTTTAATTCAGTGGTACTTCAGCAGAGTTAATATGCTTTTCTGATAAGTTACACGACAGTTTGTTAATTCTTCATTCTTGTAGTATTTCATCACAAGAAACTGACTCTTATCTGAATTTTTTCTGTAGTATTTAAGTCTGTGAGTGGTTTAAACAGAGGTCAGTGTGTATAAAGTGTGTTTGAAGCCGGGCGCGGTGGCTCAAGCCTGTAATCCCAGCACTTTGGGAGGCCGAGGCGGGTGGATCACGAGGTTGAGAGATCGAGACCATCCTGGTCAACATGGTGAAACCCCGTCTCTACTAAAAAATAGAAAAAATTAGCTGGGCATGGTGGCGCGTGCCTGTAATCCCAGCTACTCAGGAGGCTGAGGCAGGAGAATTGCCTGAGCCCGGGAGGCGGAGGTTGCGGTGAGCCGAGATCACACCATTGCACTCCAGCCTGGGTAACAAGAGCGAAACTCCGTCTCAAAAAAAAAAAAAAAAAAAAAAAGTGTGTTTGAACATTATGCCAAATATCAAAATGTGAAGGACTAATTCAGAATGCAAAAACGTTATGGGGGTTGTAAATATGAACTATTCAACAGTTTAGGATGCAATTATGAGTGTAAATAAACTGCGTGCCTTATTTACGCTTTATTGTCTCTAGCTTTCCAGATACCGTTTTGATGTGTTGTACAGTGGAATGTCTTAGATACTTTTTGGAAAGTATTTACATTATTTATATCAAAATTAAAATGTTGAATTTCATTTTGAGTCTACTGTCTTTTAACACTCTCTGCCACGGGTCCTTAGGCACAGTGCAAGAATCTCCCTCAACCATGTCAAACTTTTTTCAAAAGATAGGCAAGAGGATGGCAGTGTTGTTATGAGAACTCTCGGTGACTCCTACTCCAACCTGTAACTGCTTTTCCAAAGGAGCCCAGTGGGTAGTCATTGCCGCGAGGTACCGGTTGGGTGGCACCGAGCCACCTGAGCCCAGAGCGGTAGTCGGGCCGACAAAGCCGGGCGGGGCAAAGCCGGGCTCGTCCTGCCCCCCGGTCCCGCCCCGCCCAGCCCCTGGAGCCCGCTCCCGGTTTTAGAATCCTGGGTGGCGTGCGCGCTCTTCCTGGCGGCCGCGCAGGTAAGTGGAGGGTAGCGCTGGGGGCACGTGACCCGGAGGAGAAGGGGAGGGGAGGGCCTGGTGCCCCTCGGCCCTGTCTGTGGAGATGACGGGAGGCCCGCGCTCCGCGCTCAGTCTGCCATAGCCCGCGGCGGAGGCCGGAGCCCCGCGGAGTTTCGCTCTCCGCTCCCAGGTGCGGCCGAGGCGCCGTCCTTCCGGGCGCTGGGCGGGGCGCGCAGTTCGCGGCGATCCCGGTGTTCATGACCTGTGGGGTCTCTCGGCTGAGTTCCGGCCTCGTTGGGGCGGAATCTCTAAAGACAGTGGGTTTCAGCCAGAAACACAAAGACGAACGCCCAGCCGGCGGGGGCAGAGCCGGGGACACAATGAGATTTGTGGCACCCGGCTCCCCGAGGCTGGCGCAGGGGAGACCCCACAGCAGAGAAGCTCGGTAGCCCCAGTCAGTCGTGGGTTAGTTAAAACCGCAGAGCCTTTTCGACCCCTCGGAAGCGCGTAAGTATTCGAAAGCTACCCCTTTCTTGAGTCCAGCAGAACTTTTAAGCCAGGCAAACCGGTGGTTCTGTTTGTATAAGGGCGACCAGGCATGATTGCTGTGACACTTTGCTGTGGGAGCCATTTCTCCTGCCACTGCCGCGGCTTTCCAAGACGAGTGTCCAAGAGTGGACTCAGGATCCGGGACCTGAGTGGGGCAAGGACCCTCGCTGCCTCGGCCTGCGGGACCAAAACGAACTCTGAGGTGACCTCCTGAAAGACATTAGGAGGAGTATCCAGATATTTAAGATTTAGTGAAATACAGCTAACCATTCCCTTCTAAAAATCACATTATCTTGCTTTTCCACAACTCTTTAATAATTGCTTGCTTTTTAAAGATTGATAAGATGGTTTGATTCAAATAAGCCACTTAACGAGGAGGTGTTAAATCCATTACATTGAATCATATTTTTACCAGTGAATTGAATTAAGAATATTCCGTAAATGCTGTGTAAAACTTGCTAAAATTATTTGTTGTGCTTTTGCTTCTACATTTCTTAGGAATGTACTTCAGAAACTATAGTGGTAATAACATTCCTAGAACTTAAACTTTTTTAGAGAAAGAAATAAAAGAGAAAGGTACAAAAATAACCGCTGTAAAGTACAGAGCTGCTTTGCGTTGGAAACCCTGCTGGGGCCATCACAGTAATTGCCCTATTAGAAGACTCTGGGTTTCCACCCCATTCCCTTGTCTCCATTCTGTAGATACCCTCTGTGCCTTGCTTACCCTATTAACATCTTTACCTGGATTTTTAATGCATCCGAAATACGCTGCATTCAGTCTGCTGCTCCCCAAGGCTAAGTTGGAGGGGTGGAGACTGAATTATAGAGATAAAACGATCAGATGTCTGGGGTTTACTGCGGAGGAAATAGTATGGGGAGTATAAATGAAACAAGTTTGGCCATAAATTGAGTGTAGAAGCTGGATGTGGGTACACAAGGGTTCATAATACTATTCTTTCTACTTCTTACTATGTTTGAAAATTTCTATAATAAAAATTTAAAATATCTGTCTCACATTTGACCTCTTCTCACGATCTCGGTCATCCATTGGATTATGTCAATGGCCTAGCTAGTCATCCTGTTTTGCCTCTTGCCTCCTGGAGTGTATTCTCAACACAGCATCCATAATGATACTGTTAAAACTAGTCGAATCATGTCAGTCCTCTATTCAGTATCATCCAGTGGCTTCTCATCTTACTCCCAGCAAAAGACAGAGTCCTTTCCAGTGGTTTTCAAGGCCCTACATGATTCAGATGGCCTCAGTTCTGTTGTTTACCTTCTTAATCACTTCGCTGCTGCCACAGTAGCCTCCATGCCTTCGTATTTCTTGAACGTAACAGGCACTCCTACCTTAGGGCTTTTGCACTAGCTGTTCCATCTGCTGGGAACACTCTTGTCCCTGATAATGGCCTGGCTTCCTCCTTCACCTTCAGTTCTATACTCAAATATCACTTTCTCTATGAAGATTTTCCTGGTCACTTGGTTTAAAATTGTAACATCCTGTCCCCATTGCAATCTTCACCCCATTGCTCAACTGTGTTCTTTAGCATACTGTATATTTCACGTACCTGTCATCTGTCAATCCCCCTGGCACTTCCCCAATTAAAAAGCACCATGAAGGCAAGGATTTCAGTCTGCTCTGTTCACCAGTGTACCTTCAGCATGCCTGATGCAAGGCAGGTTAAAGGAAGGGTCTGCATTTTCCAAAGTAAAATAAAATAAACCCGGCCGGGTGCGGGTTTATTACAAGCCTGTAATCCCAGCACTTTGGGAGGCCGAGGCGGGTGGATCACGAGGTCGAGAGATCGAGACCGTCCTGGTCAACATAGTGAAACCCCGTCTCTACTAAAAATACTAAAAAAAAATTAGCTGGGTTTGGTGGCGCATGCCTGTAATCCCACCCACTCAGGAGGCTGAGGCAGGAGAATTGCCTGAACCCAGGAGGCGGAGGTTGCGGTGAGCCGAGATCGCGCCATTGCACTCCAGCCTGGGTAACAAGAGGGAAACTCCGTCTCAAAAAAATAATAATAATAATAAAAAAAATAAAATAAATAAAATAAACCCTTTGGAATTTCCAAATCACATCAGGCACAGTGGCTACTGCTTGTAATCCCAGCACTTTGGGTGGCTAAGGCAAGAGGGTCACTTGAGCCCAGGAGTTCAAGACTACGTAACATAGCAATACTTCATGTCTACTAAAAATTTTAAAGATTTAGCTGGATGTGGTGGCATGCGCCTGTAGTCTAGCTACTCAGGAGGCAGCTGGAGTGCTTGAGCCAGGGAGATTGAGGCTGCAGTGAGCTATGATTGTGCTCTTGCACTCCAGCCTGCGAAACAGAGCAAGACCCTGTCTTGAAAATATAAAATAAACAAATGAGGCCGGGCGCGTTGGCTCAAGCCTGTAATCCCAGCACTTTGGGAGGCCGAGGCAGGTGGATCATGAGGTCAAGAGATCAAGACCATCCTGGTCAACATGGTGAAACCCTGTCTCTACTAAAAATACAAAAAAGTAGCTGGGCATGGTGGCGCGTGCCTGTAATCCCAGCTACTCGGGAGGCTGAGGCAGGAAAATTGCCTGAACCCAGGAGGTGGAGGTTGCAGTGAGCCGAGGTCGCGCCATTGCACTCCAGCCTGGGTAACAAGAACGAAACTCCGTCTCAAAATAAATAAATAAATAAATAATAAAATAAACAAATGAATACATGAATAAGTAAAACAAACAAAAAAAAAAGATGGGGTTAGCCATTTTAATTTTGAGACCTTCATAGTATCAAGTACAATACCATGTGCCCAATTTGAGTCTTCAATAATGAGACTTGGCAGAGTGTGAATTAAAATTGTTTTAAGTCTTCAAACAAAATAACTTATAAACAGTTTGAGAGAGAAATGCAGCATACCTTAAACCTAGTAGTTAATTAGCAAATGGTTTACTTCTTTGCGTACATGGGTTCAGAGCATTGATTTCATGAATCAACAGGCTTAGTAAAAGTGCATTTTCTGTGCCTTGTTTTTGAGGTGGATTGAATACCTTCGGAGATACTTGAATCTCTCCTTGGCAACAGTAAATCACCTGTACGTAACTGCTCTGGAAAGAGTAATATTAATGGTCATTGCTGCCATTCTCTATTGTGCTTGGGGGAGCCTTTTACATCTAGTTTCTTTCTTTTTTTTTTTACATCTAGTTTCAAGTGTTAATATTTGAGACTGGAAGAAGCAACTCCTCTAAAAAGACTTTGTTGATTAGTAAGGGAAAGGGCTGTGCACTCCCTATGTTTTAACAGACTGCTTCTGCTAGTCTGTACCAAGTGAAAATGAAGAATATTTGCTGACCCATCAAATTTCACTACACTCAAACTCTTAGTATTTTGATTTAGATGTTTGAAGAAATGACTCTACTTGGGAATGTGTTCATGCTCTGTTTTGTTAAAGTTTTGTCAGTTTTGTTCTTTATTGTTTAATAGGGCTCACAGAAATTAAGTTTATAGATATTTCATTTTTCATTTTTTTTCCTTTTATTAGAGACAGAGACTTGCTGTGTCACCCAGGCTGGAGTGCAGCGGTGCAGTCATAGTATACTGTAACCTCAAACTCCTGGGGTCAGGTGATCTTCCTTCCACCTCAACCTCCCAAGTAGCTGGGACTGTGGGCACAGCACCACACACAGCCGATTTTTAAAAATTTTTTGTAGATACAGGGTCTCATTATGTTGCCAGGCTAGTCTTCAGCTCCTGACCTTAAGTAATCCTCCTGTCTTGGCCTCTCAAAAGTGCTGGGATTATAGGCACGAGCCACAATGCCCAGCCTAAGATTTAAAATCTTGATTACACTTAAAATGGCATAGAATGATGACTATATCCCTAGGTAATGTAATTGTTATAAAATATGCAAAATCTATAGGTTTATAGGTTTAAAGTCTCTAGGTATTTATTTATTTATTTATTTATTTATTTATTTTGAGACAGGGTCTAGCTAGCCCTGTCACCCAGGCTGGAGTACAGTGGTGCAATCTTAGCTCACTGCAACCTCTGCCTCCCAGGTTTAAGTGAGCTGTACCTCAGCCTCCTGAGTAAGCTAGTAGCTGGGAATACAGGCGTGTGCCGCCACTCCTGGCTAATTTTTGTATTTTTAGTAGAGATAGGGTTTCACCATGTTGGTGAGACTGGTCTCAAACTCCTGACCTGAAGTGATCTGCCTGTCTTTGCCTCCCACAGTGCTGGGATTACAGGCGTGAGCCACCACGCCCAGCCTGATATTTATCATTTTTGTATGTCATAATAATTAGACATGATTCTTTTGGTCTCCTAAATACTTTTTGCTGCTACATGAATAAAGTCAGCATCGAGAGGATAAGTAACTAATCATAAGTGATAACTTTACATTTGGCCACAGGTGTGAAAATCGCAAATGTCGTCAAATGATGGAAGATCCAGGAATCGGGACAGGCACTATGATGAGGTCCCAGGCAACTTGCCCTATCAAGATGATACCATAGGAACCCTTCACAATAGTGAGCGAGCAGTGAGCGCTGATCCCTTGCCACCACCCCCTCTCCCATTACAGCCACCATTCGGCCCAGACTTCTACTCAAGTGACGCAGAGGAACCAGCTCTAGCGCCAGATCTCAAACCAGTAAGGCGCTTTGTCCCTGACTCCTGGAAGAACTTCTTCAGAGGGAAGCAAAAGGACCCCAAATGGGATAAGCCGGTATCTGATATCAGATACATCTCCGATGGAGTGGAGTGTTCACCGCCAGCCTCTCCAGCAAGACCAAACCACCGTTCGCCCCACAACTCCTGCAAAGATCCTTACGGAGGGTCAGAGGGAACCTTTAGTTCCCAGAAAGAGGCTGACGCAGTGTTTCCCCAGGATCCCTATGGATCGCTAGACCGACACACACAAACAGTTCTAACATACAGCGAGAAAGTGGAGGAGTATAATCTGAGATATTCCTACATGAAGTCGTGGGCAGGCCTGCTGAGAATACTGGGTGTGGTGGAGCTGCTTTTGGGGGCCGGCGTCTTTGCTTGTGTCACAGCTTACATTCACAAGGACAGTGAGTGGTACAACTTGTTTGGATATTCACAGCCCTACGGCATGGGAGGCGTTGGTGGACTGGGCAGTTTGTATGGGGGCTATTACTACAGCGGCCCTAAGACCCCTTTTGTACTCGTGGTTGCTGGATTAGCTTGGATCACCACCATTATTATTCTCGTTCTTGGCATGTCCATGTATTACCGGACCATTCTCCTGGACTCTAACTGGTGGCCCCTAACTGAATTTGGAATTAACGTTGCCTTGTTTATTTTGTATATGGCCGCAGCCATAGTCTATGTGAACGATACCAACCGTGGTGGCCTCTGCTACTATCCGTTATTTAATACGCCAGTGAACGCAGTGTTCTGCCGGGTAGAAGGAGGACAGATAGCTGCAATGATCTTCCTGTTTGTCACCATGATAGTTTATCTCATTAGTGCTTTGGTTTGCCTAAAGTTATGGAGGCATGAGGCAGCTCGGAGACATAGAGAATACATGGAACAACAGGAGGTGAGTGATTTCATAATCCCTCATTTGTTTGTGTATGTTTGATTCTTCTGTTATTTGCTCCCTTGTTAAAAATGTATAGTACTGAAAACAGAAAGCTTTTGTAGAAATCTTTTCTTTCTTTCTTTCTTTCTTCTTTTTCTTTTTTTCTTTCTTTCTCTCTTTCTCTTTCTTTCCTTTTCTTTTCTTTCTTTGATCTGAGATTCAAAAAACCTGGCTCTCTATCTGACATGCTTTGACTGGGATAACCCACTCTGCTGTTTGGCTGTTATATAACATTACAAGTAGACACCAGATGTGTATGTTCCACTGGCTTCATTATTCTCTGAAGTAAGTTGATATTTTGCTTTCTTCCAAGAAGATGTGTGTAGTCGAATATCCTGTGTCACGGAAAATTTCAGTATTTACCTTAAATTCTTTTGTAATTTTAAAATAACTATATTATGAATTTTTCCTTTTCCATTTTTCCTAAGACATCTCAGATACTATACAATTGCACATGTTATGTATTGGGCAAAACTATAAATAAAAATTAAGTCTTGTCCTTAGCACACACTGACATATGAATTTTGTTTTTAATCTTTTGCATTAATCTGATGCATAACAACCAATAGCCCTTTGGTTTTTTAATTTACTTTTTTTTTTTAGAGATGAATTTTCACCATGTTGTCCAGGCTGGTCTCAAACTCCTGGATTCAAGCAATCCACCAGCATTGGCATCCCAAAGTGCTGGGATTGCAAGTGTGAGACACCATGCCCAGCCTGTCTTTTTTTTTTTTTTAATTTCCTTTTTTTTTTTTTTTTTTTTTTTTGGAGACAGAGTTTCGCTCTTGTTACCCAGGCTGGAGTGCAATTGCGTGATCTCGGCTCACCGCAACCTCCGCCTCCTGGGTTCAGGCAATTCTCCTGCCTCAGCCTCCTGAATAGCTGGGATTACAGGCAGGCGCCACCATGCTCAGCTAATTTTTTGTATTTTTAGTAGAGACGGGGTTTCACCATGTTGGACCAGGATGATCTCGATCTCTCGACCTCATGATCCACCCGCCTCGGCCTCCCAAAGTGCTGAGATTACAGGCTTGAGCCACCGCACCCGGCTTTTTTTTTTTTTTTTTTTTTTTTTTGAGACAGAGTCTCACTGTGTTGCCCAGGCTTAGTGCAGTGGCATGATCTCCGCTCTCTGCACCCTCTGTCTCCCAGGTTCAAATGATCCTCCTGCCTCAGCCCCCCAGTAGCTGAGATTACAGGCGCGCACCACCATGCCTGGCTAATTTTTGTATATTTAGTAGAGATGGGGCATTGCTGTGCTGGCTAGGCTGGTCTAGAACTCCTGACCTCAGGAGTTCTGGTCTAGAATCCACCTGGCCTCCCAAAGTGCTGGGATTATGGGTATGAGCCACTGCACCCGGCCTTAAATTTTCTTTCTACACCTACTGGAATGGGAAGCAAATTGGTTTTTTGTTATTGTTATTGATTGTTTGTTTTGAGGCAGGGTCTCACTCTGTCACCCAGCCTGGAGTACAGTGATGCAATCATGGCTCACTGCAGCTTTAACCTCCTAGGCTCAAGCAATCTTCCCGCCTCAGCCTCCCAGGTAACTGGAACTACAGGGACATACCACCACACCTGGCTAATTATTTATATTTTTGTAGAGACAGGGTATCACTATGTTGCCCAGGCTGGTCTCAAACTTCTGGGCTCAAACAGTCCTCCTGCCTCAGCCTCCCAAAGTGCTGGGATTATGAGTATGAGTTCCATGCTCAGTGGGAAAAAATAGTTTTATAGCCGGGCGCCATGGCTCAAGCCTGTAATCCCAGCACTTTGGGAGGCCGAGGTGGGTGGATCACGAGGTCAAGAGATCGAGACCAACCTGGTCAACATGGTGAAACCTACATGTTACACAGAGAACTTTGACATGTGTCAATGTGATATATATATAATATATATATAAAAAATATATATATGTGTGTGTGTGTATATATATATAATTTTTTTTGTAGAGACAGGGTCTTGCTTCAGGCTGGTCTCAAACTCCTGGCCTCAAGCAGTCCTCTCCCCTCAGCCTCCCAAAGTGCTGGGATTACAGGCGTAAGCCCCTGTGCCTAGCTTGATTGTCACAAAACGTATTGTCTTGCTAGGACTCTACATAGATTCAAGTTGTTTCTAAAAATTTGTCTTGGCAGTTTAACATGTTTCTTACATTTTTGTTTTTTTTATGTAACAAACCTTCACATGTATTAAATTTGCGTTTCTTTTTTTTTTTTTTAAGATGGGGTTTTACCATGTTAGCCAGGCTGGTTTTGAACTCCTGACCTCAGGTGATCCACCCACCTCAGCCTCCCAAAGTGCTAGGATTACAGGCGTGAGCCACTGCGCCCAGCAAATTTGTGTTTCTTAAAGTTACAATTTATTTCTTAAACGTACATCTCTGTGTACAAAGTTTAAAGAATTTTAATTCTAATCAATATGAAATCCAGATAGTGAAACTCACATACTTCCTCATTTTATTCTAATTGCATGTTTTTTAATCTTAATATTTGAAAATTCTACATGAATAGAATGATCAGCATAATACTTTTATTTCTTCTTACTTTCTCAACAAAAACTTGTTTCTATGAGACTTGTTATATGCCTGATTAGACTTCAGTCACCTCTGATGTTGAAAGTTGTGCCTGTCTGTGTGTGGCTATAACTTCCTAAAGGTTAGAAAATGTAATATAGCCTATGGCCTTTTTCTATTAATTTTACAAAGTAATTGTCCTAACTCTTTAATCATGCAAGATAATGAGAGGCAGAAATAAATAAAATTTGGGAGTAGTTCAAAGTGGTTTATGTAACATTTTCCACCATCCCCATATTCCCAACTCCTCGCTATGCCCCTGATTGACCGGGAATTACAGTTATCCCTCTTCTCAGTTCTCCACTGACCCTTCAAAACCTAAGCAAAAAGACAATAAGAGGCTGGGCGCAGTGGCTCACACCTGTAATCCCAGCACTTTGGGAGGCTGAGGCGGGTGGGTCACAAGGTCAGGAGTTCAAGACTAGCCTGGCCAACATGGTGAAACTGCGTCTCTACTAAAAATACAAAAAAAAAAAAAAAATGTGTATATATATATATGCCGGGTGTAGTGGCGGGCACCTGTAATCCCAGATAATTGGAAGCCTGAGGCAGAGGATGGCTTGAACCCGGGAGACAGAGGTTGCAGTGAGCCGAGATAGCGCCACTGCACTTCAGCCTAGGCAACAGAGCAAGACTCTGTCTAAAAAAAAAAAAAAAAAATAGGATGAGAAACACCCACAAGTAGAGGATCAACCTCCTAAAATTGAGATTGGGCTATAAATGCAAATAGGCGAAAATATTTGCAAAGTAGTTTCACATGCCTTTGAAAAATTATTCAAACTCTTTTTATTTCAGATACATGAGCCATCATTGTCATCGAAAAGGAAAATGGTAAGAATAAAGTTTATTTCACATTATGCTTTAGATTTATTAAATACTTTTATCTTATATCTATTTATCTGCATAGTAGTATCATACATCTGTGAAATGTAGCTATTGGCCAGGCATGGTGGCTCACGCCTGTAATCCCAGCACTTTGGGAGGCTGAGGAAGGCAGAGCACTTGAGGCCAGGAGATCAAGACCAGCCTAGACAACATGGTAAAACCCCGTCTCTAGTAAAAATGCAAAAATTACCAGGGCATGGTGGCACACGCCTGTAATCCCAGCTACTGGAGAGGCTGAGGCACAAGAATCACTTGAATCCAGGAGGTGAAGGTTGCAGTGAGCCAAGATCGTGTCACTGCACTCCAGTGACAGAGGAAGACTCTGCTTTAAAAAAAAAAAAAAAAAGGAAGCACAGTTATTACCTCGACTTCATATTTGGACTTTGAGCTTTTTTCCTGATACTAAAAGAACCAAATAGAACAATCCTATTATAGCTTCTTTTAATTTTGTAAGATGAAAATGTATGCAGGTGAACAAAGTTGGTTCAGGAGAACCAACATAATCCAACATATGTTTAAAATTTAATTTTTTAAAACTGAAAGTGACATCTCCCAAACTTTCTTCACTTGTGTTTAAAGGTCTGTGCTGTTCTTGCTTTCAGATGCCAGATTTTTTGCTACATACACTCACAGGACAATTAAAAAAGAAATTAATAGGTCGGGTGCGGTGGCTCATGCCTGTAATCCCAGCACTTTGGGAGGCTGAGGCTGGCGGATCACCAGGTCAGGAGTTAGAGACCAGCCTGACCAACATGGTGAGACCACGTCTCTACTAAAAATACAAAAAATTAGACGCCTGTAATCCCAGCTACTCGGGAGGCTGAGGCAAAAGAATCGCTTGAACCTGGGAGATGGAAGTTGCAGTGAGCTGAAAGACCTTACCATTGCACTCCAGCCTGGGTGACAGAGCGAGATTCCATCGCAAAAAAGAAAAAAAGAAATTAATAATAATGCTTTTTTTTAAAAAAAGATGCCAAATTTTGTAGTGTCTGGGAATTTATATTTCATAATTTATCAGCTGTGTGGCAGTAGACAAATTATTTAACCTTTCTATGCCTTCGTTTCTTCATCTGTCAGATCGCAATAATAATAATTCTGAGCCAGGCGCAGTGGCTCACGACTGTATCCCAGCACTTTGGGACGCAGAGGCAGGCAGATCATGAGGTCAAGAGATCGACACCATCCTGGCTAACATGGCAAAACCCCGTCTCTACTAAAAATATAGAAATTAGTGTGGTGGCCGGGCGCGGTGGCTCAACCTTGTAATCCCAGCACTTTGGGAGGCCGAGGCGGGTGGATCACGAGGTCGAGAGATCGAGACCATCCTGGTCAACATGGTGAAACCCCGTCTCTACTATAAATACAAAAAATTAGCTGGGCATGGTGGCACGTGCCTGTAATCCCAGCTACTCGGGAGGCTGAGGCAGGAGAATTGCCTGAACCCAGGAGGCGGAGGTTGCGGTGAGCCGAGATCGCGCCATTGCACTCCAGCCTGGGAAACAAGAGCGAAACTCCGTCTCAAAAAAAAAAAAAAAAAAAAAATTAGTGTGGTGGCGGGCACCTGTAGTCCCAGCTACTTGGGAGGCTGAGACAGGAGAATCACTTGAACCTGGGAGGCAGAGGTTGCAGTGAGCCAAGATCGTGCCACTGCACTCCAGCTTGGCGATAGAGCAAGACTCTGTCTCAAATAATAATAATAATAATGATTCCTACCCCACAAGTTTTCTGAAAGGACTAAGATGTGGTTACCATTATTTACATATATGTAATAATTTATTTTCATAATCATAATTTTACCCTCATTGAAAATATCTTTTTTAAGATACTAGACCTTATTTCTTAGCGAGAAGTTGAGAATTCAATCTTTGGATTTGTTTTTCTTTGAAAAGGGAGCATATTTACTTGGTTGAAAATCCAAAAGGGTCTATAATACAAAATTATCTCATTTCTATACCCTAGCTTCCTAGTTCCCCTGCCTGTGTTACTTGCTCTCCCTTCCCTTTTACACAAACGGTAGCGTGCTGCACACGTTCTATCCCTTGTTTGTTTCACTTAACAGTATATTTCTAAGATGCTTTCTTCATGATATGTAAAGAGTTTCTGTATTTGTTTGTTTGTTTGTTTGTTTGTTTGTTTTTTTGAGACGGAGTTTCACTCTTGTTACCCAGGCTGGAGTGCAATGGCGCGATCTCGGCTCACGGCAACCTCCGCCTCCTGGGTTCAGGCAATTCTCCTGCCTCAGCCTCTTGAGTAGCTGGGATTACAGGCACACGCCACCATGCCCAACTGATTTTTTGTATTTTTAGTAGAGACGGGGTTTCACCATGTTAACCAGGATGGTCTCCATCTCTTGACCTCGTGATCCACCCGCCTCGGCCTCCCAAAGTGCTGAGATTACAGGCGTGAGCCACCGCGCCCGGCGAGTTTCTGTATTTTTTAATAACTGTATAATATTGCATTATGTGGATGTATCATAATTTATTTAACCATAATGAGCATTTAGGTTGTTTCCAGGCTTTTTTTTTTAATTATTTTTTAGACGGAGTCTTGCTCTGTCACCCAGGCTGGAGTGCAGTGGCGCAATCTTGGTTCAATGCAACCTCTGCCTCCCAGGTTCAAGCGATTCTCCTGCCTCAGCCTCCCAAGTAGGGTCTGACTACAGGCACCTGCCACCACACCCAGCTAATTTATATATATATATATATATATTTTTTTTTTTTTTTTTTTTTGAGACGGAGTTTCGCTCTTGTCACCCAGGCTGGAGTGCAATGGCGCGATCTCGGCTCACTGCAACCTCCGCCTCCTGGGTTCAGGCAATTCTCCTGCCTCAGCCTCCTGAGTAGCTGGGATTACAGGCACGCACCACCATGCCCAGCTAATTTTTTGTATTTTTAGTAGAGACAGGGTTTCACCATGTTGACCAGGTTGGTCTCGATCTCTCGACCTCGTGATCCACCCGCCTCGGCCTCCCAAAGTGCTGGGATTACAGGCTTGAGCCACCGCGCCCGGCTAATTTTTATATTTTTAATAAAGATGGGGTTTCACCGTGTTAGCCAAGCTGGTCTTCAAACTCTTGATCTCAGGTGACCCACCTGCCTCAGGCTCCCAAAGTCCTGGGATTACAGGTGTGAACCACTGCACCTGACCCAGTCTTTCACTATTAAAAACGATGCTACAGTGAATAACCGTATACATACAAATACATACTGGTACATACTTCATTCCATATATGTACAAGTACCTTTGACAGATAAATCCTGAGAAGTGAATTCCTGCATCAAAAGGATGTATCTTTTTATTTTGATTGCCAAATGGTCCAATAGAGATTTTCCCAGTTTTCACTTCAAACAGTGCTACAGGTTTCTTCACACCCTGACCAACACAGTTTGTTAGAAAATGTGTTGCCATCTGTCAGTCTGATAGGTGAACAGCAGTATCTTATGAGGTATAATTTGCATTTCTCTCCTTTTTTTTTTTTTGAGACAGAGTTTCCCTCTTGTTGCCCAGGCTGGAGTGCAGTGGTGCAATCTCGGTTCACCTCCACCTCCACCTCACCTCCACCTCCCGGGTTCAAGCAATTCTCATGCCTCAGCCTCCCAAGTAGCTGGGATTACAGGCACTTAATTTTTTGTATTTTTAGTAGAGACCGGGTTTCACCATGTTGACCAGGCTGGTCTTGAACTCCTGACCTCATGATCCACCCGCCTCAGCCTCCCAAAGTGCTGGGATTATAGACATGAGCTAACATGGCAGCCAATTACCATTTCTCTATCAGGTATGAGGTTCAACATTTTTCATGTCATCTTTGCCTTTTTCATGTGTTATGTTTACATTTTCCTTTCTAATAACTATCATTTGTGCAAGGCCTGTGTTAAGTGATTATTTTGAAAAAAACCTTTGATAACATACCTTTTAACTGTATTCTCCTATTATGAGACTCTTTTTGAATAAATGATTCATACTGAAATAAGAGATTTATGAAGTAGATAAAGGAGTCTGTCCAAGATATTGTGATTAATGCATCAATGTCATCATTCATTCATTCATTCATTGAATAGACATGTGCCAATTAGGCTGTGACTTGTGATATGAATGTTATTAAGAAGCATCATCTCCAGTTTCCAAGGGCTTACAAATCTAGTGGAAAGGAACAAAAATACAGAAGATTAGCAGAGTGTGATGGTTGTGAAGATATGTATGTATATGAGAGAGATCATAAAAGACTGTAAAATTAAATAATTTGCTTACAGATTGCTGTTTCTCTCACCTCTCCTGGGGAAAGCAGTTTATTGGCTGTCTCAAATTCAACATTGTTAATTGGTCAAAGCATCTTTTGAAAACCTGTAATTAGTCACTTTTTTTTTTTTTAACATCTAGAATACACACTGGAAGTCACTTTTTTTTTAATGAGTCATTTGAGTTAAATTATTTCTGATGTGTGTGGACCCATTTATTGCTGTTATGAAGGCTCAACAACTTTGCAAGGATTTTTCTGGATATCCATAAATTCTTAGAAATCAAGAGGGCCAGACGTGTGGCTCATGCCTGCAGTCCAAGCACTTTGGAGGCCAAGGCAGGTGGATCACCTGAGGTCAGGAGTTCAAGACCAGCCTGACCAACATGCTGAAACCCTGTCTTTAAAAAAAAAAAAGGGAAAAAAAACAGAAATCAAGGGATACCTGACCAGTCTGAACTGACCAGGTGTGGGACAAGTAAGGCTGACATTAGCTGGTCTGCAGAAGATGGAAGCATTCCTCTCACAAGGCAGCATGGACCCACACCCACTGCTACAAATCCATATAGCTTAAACATTGGGCATAGAATTACAGTAATCATATTTTGTATGAAGGGGAGGGTTTGATTTGATTATGCCTTGTTTTAACTTCTGATTCTCCTACCCTTATGTTGTAGTTAGTTTTACATCCATTTATTCAGCATTCATTGCT